AAGACCTTGTCAGTCTAATTGGAGGTTTAGTGACACAATCATGCATGCAAATAATCAGTATAAGCAGTCGAGCAAATCTCCTGCAAACATCAATGTCGAATTTACCCCAACACTGACTAGGGTTCAAGTCATTATCATAGACACGAGTTGGGAGTGTACTCCCCTTGGTTACAACTTATGTTCTTCCTGATAATCACATGAGCATCACTCACTGTTGATCATCTTGTAAAGACTTATTTAGCCAAAGTCAACTCGCGGCACTACATCACACACAACTTATAATCACTATATCTCAATCAAATCGTATTCCGCCTCATGCTAAACTGCATACTTGCAAATAACTTGTATGCACCATCAGCCGGTAGATATAAATGTAAATAAATAGTCTATGGCAAGTCAGAACATGGAGTCTAGTGCATGTCTCTTACGAATACACTCACGTTTAACGAATCGCTCTTATCTAACTGTCCGAAATCCACATGATTATCACTTTTCACATATTAAAAAACTTTTCTTTTTGATAACCATTCATATGTATTAGTAGTGTCACTAAATTCTATCACGGTCAAGTAAAAATGAGGTCGAGAAAATCTCCCCATAAATAAATAAACCGTATCAAACTAACTGGAACACTAGTTGGAATTCTTCTCCATGGTAACACTTTTGTTCTTTCAGTTAGCCTACTAATACAGATCCAATTGGAAATCAACTCATATGGACAGCTTACAGGCATAAACGTTATTTAATTTAAACCAAAACTAATACCAATATTAGCATTTTTACAATATGGATTGCTTTTAATATTTATAAACACAAAATACTTACTACCTATAAGTTAAGTTATTAACCAACGGATATTAACACGCATCTTACGTTCTATTATTATTATTATTACGGCGACTCATTAAAATATCCCTACATGCAGTCATTTTATTATTATTATTATAATCCCGCTTTGTTTAGCTCGAATAATATTTACCTAAATTTTCATTTTAATCGTGTTAAACATGCAATCAGATGTGTTGAAATTATTACATGTGTTTCCCGACCAGATGCTGCTACCTTCTTTTTGATTTATCTTTCAGCTTATCAATACCCGGAGGGTTCTAATTAGCCTTGGTAACCTCCGGCGCGCGACAATCCCACTCAAATTGGTATCGAACCAACGTCACGTTGATTCTGGTGGGAGAGTAGTGTAGTGGCATTGAGCCCTAACACGAGACAAAATGGAAAATAGACATTCAACATTTAACGCTGGGAAATACCCAACAATGGAGAAGGCGGGAATAAGGAATAAATTGAATTAGTCCGAGTTGATCGGATGGCATGGATCGGCCTTGCAGGCGTGGTCCTAGCTGAATGTTATATTGTATCTTTTATTCATATTAAATATATTCTATCTCTAGCATAAGCTTGTTCTCTATCACGTATTGGTAATTGTTACAATTCAATGAGTTGGTGTAGACGATGAAGTAACTTCCACGTAAGATCTTATAGATTAGGCAGTTGCATCATGACAAATCTACAATTTTAGGACTAGGTCTACTATTAGAGCAGTGCTAATATCGTAGTAGACCATAATTCTACAGATGCCCTCTCAAGATTGATTGGTTCGCATGCAAAACAAGAGGAGGAGGTGCTTGTGCTCTTTTGGCACGGCCTTGGTATTCTTTCGATATCACGAAATCGCCCACAAATATATCTCGCTACAACCTCCAGTCGCCTTCAGATATCTGGTAAACAACCTCCTTGTAGTGGTAATCATAGCCAACTGCGTATCAACGCCACGCTACGGTATGAAACATTACTTTTATGGACAGTTTTATCAGTTTTTGTCAAGGGTACCATGGTTCTTATAATCCATTCAAACGCTTTTGAGACTACAAGCATTTCAAAATGTCAAGCTTGACCACGGCACGTTGATGATTTCATTTCGCTAACCAGTGAGACTATCAAATACAGACGATCGCTTGAGTGACGCTAAGGTGACCTTGAGAACGGCCACATACCAACTGTGACGAAATAAGGGTTATTAACTATTATGAGGAACTAGAATTAAGGTTTAATGTTGATGGTTAAGGGTTAAACTCTGCCTGTAGCTCTTTCAGAGTTACTGCCGGTCCCAAACACGGGTAAACGAGGAGGGTCGGGCATGGGGTTAGCAACCCCATCCCGTACAAAACTAACTTGTTAGAAGACGTTACCCAGAAAAAAACCACTTAAACTCTGTCCTTGTAGTTAGAACGTCTTCATTTAGAAGAAATATGACGCTTCATGGTGAAAGCTGAGTTTCTTCGGAAGCAAAGAGGACGTTGTCCCCTTCTAACAACCAGAGCAACAATTTTTATTCGTACATGGAACGTCCGGACTATGCGGGAGACCGGAAAGATCAGTCAAATAGCAAGAGAAATGAGGAGTTAGAAACAGGCAGTACTGGGAATCAGCGAAACACATTGGATCTAAGCTGGACAACAAAGGCCAAATACGGGAGAGATGCTGTTGTACTCTCGTCACAAAGGGGAAAATGCTCCACACACACACACACAGGGAGTTGCTCTAATGGTGCTCAAAGTAGCTCGAAATAAACTTGTAGGATGGGAAACTCACGGATGCAGAATTATCAAAGCATCATTCAAAACAAAGGAGGCGATCACAATGAACATTATCCAATGTTATGCACCCACCAATGATAGCAACGGCGGCGTTAACGATCAATTCTACGAGAGGCTGCAATCAATCACAGCAAGGTGCCCAAGAAAAAACCTCACCATTATGATTTGAGATCTAAACGCCAAAGTCGGATTGGACAACACTGGGTATGAAGATATCATGGAACCACATGGACTAGGAGAGGAACAAAAATGGAGAGATTTTCAAATCTATGTGCATTCAAAAATTTGGTCATAGGCGGCATAATATTCCCACACAAACCTATACACAAAGCTACATGGTACCAAAGAAGCATTAACTTCCACGTGTCAAGAGGTTCTGGGCCCCAAGAAGCATCACCATAAGGAATGGATATCTATGGAAACACTGGACAGAATCAAAGAAAGGAAGAACAAGAAGACAGCAATTAACAATAGTCGAACACGAGAAGAGAAAGTCCAAGCACAAGTTAAGTACATAGAAGCAAATAAGAAAGTGAAGAAGAGCATTAGAGCCGACAAGCAGAAACACGTAGAAGAACTAGCAGCGACAGCGGAGAATGCTGCAAGAGAAGGAAATATGAAACAGCTTTTTGATACAACGAAGAAACTAGCAGGGAAATATAGTAAACTAGAGAGACCAGTCAAAAACAAAGAAGACAGGCTATTAACTGGAACTCAACTACAGCGGAACAGATGGGTAGAGTATTTCGAGGAACTCCTGAACAGGCCGGCTTCAATGAACCCACCGGACATCGAAGCAGCGCATACAGATTTTCCTGTAGATGTCAATCCACTAACGACCGAAGAAATCAGAATGGCCATCAAACAAATCAAGAGCGGGAAAGCATCAGGACCCGACAATATACCAGCTGAAGCATTGAAGTCGGACATCGAAGTAACCACAAACATGTTTTAACTTCTATTCAAGAAGATTTGGCAGGAGGAAGAATTGCCGATGGACTGGAAAAAGGAACCCAAATTGAGAGAGTACGGATCATCGTCGAACAATCAATTGAGTGGAATTCGTCACTGTACATCAAATTCACTGATATTGAAAAGGCATTTGGCAGTGTAGATAAGAGGACGTTATGGAAACTTCCTAGAAAATACGGAGTTCCTGAGAAGATTGCCAACATTATCCGGAACTCATACGACGGACTACAGTGTATAGTATTGCATGGAGGACAGCTGACAGATGCATTTGAAGTAAGGACCGGAGTTAGACAAGGATGTCTACTCTCTCCCTTCCTCTTTCTTCTGGTGGTCGACTGAATTATGAAGACCTCGACATCTGAGGGAAAACACGGCATACAATGGACAGCTCGAAATCAATTAAACGATTTGAACTTCGCAGATGACTTAGCCCTCCTATCGCATACACACGAGCAAATGCAGATAGAGACAGCCAGCATAGAAACAGTCTGCATCAGTAGGCCTCAACATACACAAAGGGAAAACCAAGGTCCTCAAATACAGCAAAGAGGACAGCAATCCAATCACAAACGATGGCAAAACTCTGGAAGACGTGGAATCCTACGCATACCTGAGAAGCATCATCGATGAACAAGGAGGTTCAGATTCAGACGTAAAGGCAAGGATTGGCAAAGCAAGGACAGCATTCCTTCAATTGAAGAACATATAGAACTCAAAACAACTTTCAACAAATATAAAACTCACAATCTCCAATACGATCGTCATCACAGTCAGTTCTACTGCATAGAGGTGAAACTTGGAGAACTACAACAACCACCATCAAGAAGGTACAAGTACTTAAAATAGCTGTCTACACAAGATACTCAACATCCATTGGTCAGATACTATCAGCAACAGCCTTCTGTGGGAGAGAACAAACCAGCTTCCATCTGAAAAGGAAATTAGGAGAAGACGACGGAAATGGAAAGGACATACATTGAGGAAATCATCAAACTACATCACGAGACAAGCCGTAACTTGGAATCCTGAAGTAAAGCGAAAAAGTGGAGGGTCAAAGAACATAATACGTCGGGAAATAGAATCAGATAAGAAGTGGATGAATAACAACTGGAAAGAGCTGGAAAGGATTGTCAATGGCAGGATAGGATGGAGAATGCAGGTGAGAGGGCTATGCTCCTTCGCGAGGAGTAACAGGCATAAGTAAGTAAGGTTAAGGGTTAAGAACTATATTTATGGCTTTCCTCACGAACTAACATCAGCTAAAATGCCAAAAACGCTCGTTAAACAAATGAGTGAATGGATTTCTCGCCGAAATGCAGGACTTTTTATTTTATATCTGATTGGTTCGTCCATCAAATATAGTCTCGCCACACAAAATGAAGTAATATTATACGCAATAGTAATTCGTTTATAATCTACCTGTCTTGCGCTTATGGGTTATATATTGCTTACAGTTTACTTAAAGGGTTTATTCAATAGTAGACCATGTACGACAAAATAAAAAACTGTTCAACACACAAAGATATATCTCCAAAAAAAATTTTTTAGTCACATTCATTGTGCAAAACAAACTAGTTTTGTTAACTGTTATATCATGCATCATTCTATGTCGTACAACAAATGAAATATTAGCATTGTGTGGTTGATCGTTTGTTCTAATCGTAATACGGGTTGTTTTGCATAACAACACAAGATCCTAGAATGAATAAGTTAGTTAAAGCAAATAACTGTTATAAGTTATTCAAACCATTCTGTTTTTCAGAAACCATTATGTAGATTTAGGAAGAACAGCACAATGTCTAACGAAAATTCCATTGGAGGAACGACTACTTTGAAGATTAATAGACAACAACTGATTTTTGCATTTTTAAAAGATTTGTCCAAGCATTATCTTGTTTATTGAAGTACTTCTGTTTTACATCATCTGACAAATAGATTCCATATTCTGCTTCATATAAATCACATACTGTTTGTAAATCAATCTGAAATGAAATTAACAACGATTAATATGTCTTAGGCTTTTCGTCAAATAAATGGTGATGAGGGATTGTAAGAAAAAGAAACTAAGATCTTGTACATCATGTCGAATCATATTCATATAAAACCCTGTAAACAAATTTTGATTCCTCTATGACATAATGTGATTAATTACACAATCCAAGGTTGATCATTTTTATTTTCGAGTTACCTCCTTAGGTGTCTGGCAGTTGTTATCTACCCTACCAAGATCACTTCGTGAATCAGACAGAAACTCATAATAATCATAAACGTTCTGATTGTTCCTTCATCTAGAAAAAAGGAAGCGCATTTTATAGTGAAACACTCATTGTGAAAAGGACATCAAGTCGATACCTTAAAATATTTCAATCTGAATAACATATAGATAAGCTACAGTTCTCTGAAATTTTTTAAAGAGATGAAGCTCAGCCATCACCGACCCGAATTATGTTTTCATTCATTTGAATATATGATTATTTGATCTTTGACTGCTATCTCGTTCAATAATTCCATCTTGATAAGGTTTTGTGGCGATCATAGAGTTTCCATAGTTTTTAAATCACAAACGTTTGAAACCTAGAAGCACATTAAAGCTGTTTGATCTGAATACGGAACACCTCAGCATTATGCAATGACAAGCTCATCAAAAGATATAGAACTCAAGACACTTGGTTTCACATGCTAACCATTAATCCATAAATATCATTGAGCTAGGATCCAGCGGCTTCAATATTTGACTTCAGTCCGTTCACTAGATTGCGCTTCTATCTCCTGTCGCCTGGTGTGGACAACTATCTTACACTTAACTTAGTTGAAGTGGATTATTCATGGATCCTAACTAGATTTATTTATTTATTTATTTGAACACATAAATATTGGTACAGGGGGGCACCAAATATATATGCGCCACACAAAACAATGATAATTTGAAGAGGAGAAAAGAGAGAAAAAAAGTAATGAACGTGGGGAATTATATATAAATCAGAAAAAAAAAGAGAGAGAACAATGATGGGGAAAACGGAAAGGTACAATCAGAAGAGATCTTTCAGTTAAGGAAGATACAAACACTTTTTATGAAGAAAGTAAAAGAAGGTTACAGCAGGATCGCCACTGGCTTCTATTCTGGACCATATCTGATAACGTCTCTAGCCACTGCGTTACACCGTCTCTCGGACCCCAACCAGGGAGTCGTGAAGGACCAACAGAAGCTAGCCCTTTGCAGCTTTCTTTCATACCACGACACCATGTCATATACTGACCACCTCTCCGCTTTTTCCAACCAGTCCCAGAGTCGGCAAATAATGCACGACGAGGAATTCTCTGGGACGACATTCGTAGAACATGTCCAAGCCACCGAAGTCGGTGTTTCAAGATGGTGACACCAATTTCATTATCGTCTCTGTGCCCGAACACACGATGTCGAACTTCTGCATTACTAACATGGTGTTGCCACTGAATGTCAGCAATCCTTCGGAGACAGCGATGATCGAACACAGAGAGTAGTCTAACATCCTCAACTCGGAGATGCCAGGTTTCACAAGCATAGATCAAAACTGCTCTCACCGACGCGTTGTAGATCCGACCTTTTACAGCCAGACTAACATCACGAAGGCGCCAAAGATGGCCCTGATTGGCATAAGCCGCTCTGGCTTTCACTATACGTGCATTGATCTCATCACTCACGCCACCACCAGCACTTATGCAGCTACCAAGATACACGAACTTCTCGACTACTTCAATCTGCTCACCATCCAGAGTGAGTACAGGATTGGAATCCTGCGAGTCTTGTAGAAGTACTATGCACTTCGAGGGTGCAAAACACATACCATACCTACGGACATTGATTGCCAACTGATTAAGTGCGGATTGCATAGCATGGGCATTCTCGCACAGTAAGACAATATCATCCGCATACTCAAGGTCGAGAAGTCTTTCTACAGGCAACAGATCCACACCACCGTTACTTACATCCGTCAGAGCTGTTTCCAGAATGTCATCGATGGCAAAGTTGAAGAGGAATGGTGAGATTGGGAAACCCTGCATAACCCCGCTGCTCGAATGAAATAGTGGAGAAAGGTGATTGTATGCCCTCACTCTGCCTGAGGTGTTTGTGTATAGGGCTTTTAGGATGTTATTAAACTTCTCAGACACAGCCATCTTCAATAGACAATTCCAGAGAACAGTTCTGTCCAACGAATCGAAGGCAGCCCTGATATCAAGAAACACTACGATTGTTGGCCTTTGATAAGTATGGCGGTGTTCTAACACTTGGTGGAGGGTGAAGATATGATCAATACATCCTCGACCAGAACGAAACCCAGCCTGCTCCTCGCGAGTCAATCCTTCTAGGGTCCTGAACAATCTACGAAGTATGACGGAAGCCAATAGCTTGGACGCAATCGGAAGTAGACTTATCCCCCGATAGTTGTTACAGGAACAACGTGAACCGTTTTTAAAGATAGGGACAACTATCGACTCATTCCATGACGTTGGTACACTCTCTAGTTCCCAGATCTTTGTAAACAACGTCGTCAGTCCCTTAGTCGGAAAGTCACCACCATCTTTAAAAAGAGCCGGAGGTAATTCATCTGGGCCCGGTGATTTGTAGCGTTTCAAGAGTTGGAGTTCCTTGCGGACTTCCGCCTCATTTGGTGGATCAGCCGTCACCGGCCATGGGGGGCAGGACAGTCTGACCGATGTTGCCGGAGCAGCAGGCCAGTTGAACTGCCCTTCGAAAAATTCTGCCCATCGTCCAAGACGTCGATGGATGTTAGTGATTGGCGTTCCGTCATCCTCGCAGATTGTTTCGCTCACACCAGACTTCTTGCTGCCAGTGGCTCGGATGAGTTGGAAGAGCTTCCGGTAATTACCAGATGCAGCTGCTGCTTCCAACTCACTGGCACGCTCCGACCACCAGGCTTCTCGGTCCTTACGCAAGCTTTGCCCGATTTCATTACGTAACATCCTTCGTCTGTGGTCAAACTCACGGTCACCCTTGAGTAGACCGGACGGGCTTCAATCAGTTGTAAGGAACCAGAAGAAACCCAGTGCTTGTAAGCGGGACGTTTCGCAAACCCACAACAGACTGTACCCGCCATTTTCATGGCGTCATGCAATTGCAACCAATGCTCATCTATACTTTTCGGTGGAATGGCAACTAGCCTAGAAGCTAGCTCAGTTCGGTACTTACTGGCAACAGAAGCTGCAGCCAGCTTGCTAACATCAATCCTTTGGTGGCGGTCACTTCGTTGTCCACTGAAAAGTAAGGTAAGATTGGCGCAGACCAGAGCATGATCAGATTCCAGATAGGTACTCCAAGAGGAGCGGCAGTCTTGTACACAACCACGCCAGCGGTAGCTGATCGCGATGTGATCAATCTGAGTCCAGGTTCGAGATGCAGAAGGAGGACGCCAGGTGGCACATCGGCGATGACTGTGCCGAAAGTTAGTGCTAGCCGGAAACAGGTTGTGGTCTGTGCATAGTTGCAGTAGAAGATCCCCGTTATCTGTCCTGCGACCAACGAGTCCCCATCGGCCACCTAAACGACTCTCTTCTGTGCCTAGACGCCCGACCTGAGCATTCAAGTCTCCGGCTAGTACTACAATATCTGTCGAACGCACTTTCTGGAGAACAGTTAACTGGTGGTAAAACTCATCCTTGATTGCATCTGGGCTGCAATCTGTCGGGGCATAGGCGGAGATGACGAAAAGACACCGTTTCTCATGCCGATTTCTTCTCACTTTGATGGAACTTTCTAATCTAACAGCACTTAACCGACTATTAATGGAGATCCAGTCGATTAGTGCTGCCTCAGCTCTTGCGCTTATTGCGACACCAACGCCAGGAAGACCAGACGAAGATGCCACAGGGTCCCCGGATAAACGCACGTAAAACAAACATTTTGAAGCGACAGATGGAGAGCGAATTTGTAGTATTTCACCAGAGTCTTGAATACGGGTCTCGGATAGACAACACACATCAATATTAAGACTTTCCAAAGACATAGCCAGCCCTATCTGTTGTCCGACCTGCATAAGTGTGCGAACGTTGAAGGCATCCAGTATGAATGGCGTACGTGGTTTCAGAAAAACTGCTTCAGTACTCATCCTAACTAGAACTGCTAGAACTGCTGTGATGACAGATTTCAATAATTCTTTAAATCAGATCTATTGATGAGCTTTACTGAACGTCCTCCTATTTAACACCAGTACTTGTTCGTCATATATTTACTCATGTTGATGTGTGTTGGTAATAAATGAGTCCAGAATGATTGACCTGTGTAGGTGTCCTCAAAGTGTTTTGAAGCTTTAAGCACTAAATACTGCAGAGCGTAAGGAAAATTTCGTGATGTAGATGATGTGAGGAAAAGTAATGTTATTATGCTCAAATACTTATCCTTATTTTCTTCAACATATTGAACAAATCTGAGCGTGTAAGATACTGAATTTGACGCACAAAATATCCTGGGACTTAATCAAGCCAAATTTATACTTTCGATTACATCTAAATCTTTCTACTCCATCAATCCAAGATAAAAATAACACGTCAGATAATTCCCTCATTATGATTCATATCGACCTAGTTAGAAATGATTTAATTTAACACGTAACTAGAGTTTCACTGATTTCAAGCACCTCCAGGCTGTATCACTTGATTTCGGCAGCAATTTGGAAGACTCTCCCGGTCTCCAACATTGTACGAGCATTAAACGTACCTAAATTAATGGTCGCTCTGGTTCTAAGAATGGGCATCGGTCTCGGCTTTCACCATGAGGCGTCATAACTCTTCTGAATGAAGACCTAACTCCCTGAAGCAGAGTTTAAATGGTTTGAATTATTTTTTTCTGGCTAGGAATTTTTAGCGAGTTGGTTTTCTACGAGATGGCGTCGCTAACCCCATGTTCAACCTTCGTGTTTTATCTGGACTCGAGACCCGAATCAGTTCAATGAGGCCCCAGGAAGGTTATTGAATGCTGGTAAGGCGGCTTATGCTCCATTAGGAACAACAGGCGCAAGTAAGTAAGTAATAACTATAGTTTGTTGCGTATACACATTCGAAAACGGATTGGATTAATTGAAAGACATTATAATGAGCCTTACAAAATATGTAAACTGAACCCAAACTAGAAAAGATTTTAGTTATTCCACATAAACTTACTTCTGAACGGAAAATAAGTAAACGTTGAGCAGTTAACATATCGATAAGTTCTTTATAAAGTGCATCATGGATTAATGTAGCAAAGTACATTGGTTTCTTTACAGAATAAGTATCTGAAATGATGAAGATGAAAAGTCAGTCTATTAATAATGAGCGATTCTTACTAGAAATGAAATGAAAAGATGTGAAGCACATGTGGAGAAATTCGAACTCTTCACTTCTATCTGAAGTTTGTGCTGATGATGTCGTTCAGAAGAACGGTTAAAGCTTCACGACCAAACCATCTAGTTCAGTGAACAAAACTCCGTCAAAAGAGGAAGATCATCAGGGCTATGTAAATACACACAGTTCTGATAATATTCGTCTTCCTGTTGCACTATCTTTATTAGTCTTCATATTAAATGCCATGACAAGATTGTTCAAAATTGAATTTGAGCACCAGAATTGATCGGTCCGGTTTTGGCTTTGAGGATCACCGTGAACTCGGCAACGCTTGAGTCAAACATAAACACGTAATACACTTTGCTGCTAAATCTAGTTGGTCATTAGGTAATGCACTGGCATGAAGAGCCGTTGGGAACGTTAGATCCCTGGAACTCACTTGGCAAAGATCGTATTTTGTAATTTTATTTTCAAAATTTGATTTTTTTTGTTTTCTTACCGAATCGCTCTTTTCACCTTCATGTCGCATTTTCCACTTGAGAGAATCCCAAACGCTATTGTTTCGTTGTGTTTTAGTATGCTATTTTGTAACCCTTCCCAAGGACGGTTTCGTTATATATATATTTATAACAGCGTCAAAATCATTATGTATATTGTGTTAATGGATTCTGTTTTTCCTTCTATTACAGGGCGATCGAAAGTAAATGCTTTAGAAGAGGAAGAACGAGCCTTGCATGCACTGAGCCTGCAGGATGACGCATAAGACTGTTTGGTAAACTAGCTTCCCCTTCTGTACATTCTCGCGAATTTCGATTTTAAAAAATAATAACAAATCTTTGGTGGTTCCATTCCGTGTTATCCCTGTGTTGTGAAGTGCTCAGTTAACATTGTGTGTTTGTGGTTTTAGATCTTCCAGCTTGCTCAAGTGACTGCTGAATACACGAGTTACAATTGGTGATGAAGGTGGCCACGGAAAAATGCGACGAGAATTTAGACGAAACCCCTGTAAGTCCAATCAAGGCTGCACACGCTTCAACCCCTCGACAACCACCTCTACTTGGAAGTTAGTCAGATTACTCTGTTTGGAAATTTAAAGTCACAGAGTACCTACAGAGAGTTTCACTGACCGAAAATTTCAACTAGCTCGTTTCTTATTTGAGCGATGAAGCAATACGAAGGGCTACGGCCAACGGGTTCGCGACAAGCAATATACTTTCACAAAATTGGAGAATCTTAGACGATTGTTTTTCTGTGCCCGTGGACACCCAACAGGCGACGATTCAGTTCCTATTACGTTACCAGAAAGCAAGCGAGAATCCAATCGACCATCTTTATATCCTACAGCAAATCGCCGCACAGGCATTTCCTCGTTTAGATGTAAATGGAAGAGAAGAAATAGTTCGTTCACGTTTTGTCGAAGGATTATTGCCTGGAACTCTAAGAGCACATTTCCTTCGAAGTCCACCAAAAGATACATCTGACTTGAAAAGAACAACATTATGGTTTCTGGCCACTGACAAACCAGCAAATTTACCAAATGCACGACCAACATCAGTGTTGAAGGTGGGACAAGCCGCAAGCTCCAGTGGGCTGGACAATTTCCAGACGACAATGGCTGTTACCGACTCATTTAACCTTGTTGTCAGCCGCAGACAGATAAGTTCAAGACGGAACGGATGGTCGCCAGGGAAGACTTATCAGAATCAGCAAACGGAGTGTTTTTACTGCAAACGCTTTGGAAAAAATGTCAAGAAATGCGGGCATAATACAGTGACAAACAGAGGTAAGCAGTGTTGTTTGCATATATCGTCCTGCTATGTTAAACGTTTGTGCCCTGTTACTATTAAAGGTAGAGTACAGAGTACTGACATTAATATACTATTAGATACAGGAGCCTCCGTATCTTTGATCAAGGAAGACTTCTTCCAGAAACTTAATCATAGCACTCAGCGTAAACAATGCGCTTCTATATTAATTACTGCTAGCGGAGAACCCTTGAAAGCGTGTTACAAGGTAGGGTTAGAACTAATGATAGATAAAAAGCCATTTCAACGTAAATTCTGGGTTTGCCCCACCGTGACTTGGCGTATGATTCTCGGGGTCGACTTCATGCTAAAATACCAGGTCTCTATACATATGAATAAGTCAGAAGCGAGTATTGGCGGAGTTGTCTTACATATACAACATCATGAAGTGCCAGGTAGAAATTGCTGAAATTATATGTCAGGTATAGGATAATAAAATAATAAGCGAAAGAGATCATCGAGCAACCACTGACGTGCTCCAATGCTTTAGTTCCGTTTTCTCTGAGAATATCTCTGGGAATCGAGCGACCACGGTACAGCACCCATCCTCACAGGTGATCACCTGCCATCACATCAACCACTCCGCCGAGTACTAGTACATTACCAGCCTCAATTAGAATCGATGATAAAGGATATGCTAGAGAAAAAGATGATTGTACCATCTTCATCATCATGGGCCTCGCCTATCGTTTTAGTGAAAAAGAAAGACTCCTCCCCACGATTATGCGTAGACTACCGCCGACTTAATGCTATAACCAAACGGGACTACTTCCCACTTCCACGTGTAGACGCTACATTGGACGCCCTGAAGGGCGCTCGTTGGTTCTCGACTCTGGACCTAGCATCGGGGTATTGGCAAGTGGAAGTCCGAACTCAAGATAGAAAAAAGACAGCATTCACAGTACCCAATGGTTTATACGAATTTCAAGTGATGCCGTTCGGGTTAACTAATGCCCCAGCTAACTTCCATCGCCTAATGCAGACAGTTCTGCACTGTCTCGTACCACACCAGTGTTTAATTTACCTTGAAGATATTATTGTGTATGGCAGAACGCCGGAACAGCATAATTCTAATTTGAAGGCAGTCCTACAACGAATTAAGCAACACAACCTAAAAATTAAACCATCTAAATGTCGACTATCGCAAAAAGAAGTACTCTTTTTAGGGCATCGCATTACAGGAGAGGGTGTAGCAACAGATGAAGAAAAGACATGTGCGATTGTTAATTGACCGCAACCGAAACCACTTGAAGACGTTCGTAGTATTTTGGGATTAGCTTCTTATTATAGACGCTTTGTACGCGATTTCGTATCACTAGCAGCACCCTTACATCGATTAACCCACAAAGGACGAAAATTTTCATGGACCACTGAGTGTCAACAAGCGTTCGATGTTTTGAAAACCCGGTTAACCTCTCCACTTATACTAGCTTTCTCCGATACTTCAGCGGATGCAGGCGGGTTCATACTAGACACGGATGCTAGTTCCTCGGCTATTGGGGCAGTTCTATCACAAGTGACTCGAAATGGATACGAAAAAGTAATTGCGTATGCTAGTCGGCGGCTAGATAAGAGAGAGACGCGGTATTCTACGACGCGCCGAGAGATGTTGGCTTTGGTAAAATTTTTGCAACATTTTCGTCACTATCTCCCAGGACGACCCTTTCGTGTACGCACAGACCACCGTGTGCTACAGTGGCTCGTTCGATTCGTGAACCAGAAGGTCAGGTAGCGCGTTGGCAGGAACGGTTACAAGAGTTTGATTTCACATGTGAGTATCAACCGGGAAATCGACATACAAACGCGGATGCTCTCTCTCTAATTCCCCAAACTACAGACATCGTTTACGTAATTCCTTAGTACAGCCCTAGAAACTGACTAGCTCTCCATAAAGCAGCAGATCCAGACCTGCAGATCAATTACCAGAGACAGCTGAACGGGAACAATAAGCCATCCTGGAAGGAGTTAAAAGATCGACCCCTAACAACGCGTCGTATTTGCACCAAATGAAGTAACCTAAAATTATATGGGGACACGTTATTCTTAATTAATGAATCGAAACAACCCCTACTGATAGTACCGCGAGTAAAATTCGAAAGCATTGTGGAACAGGTACATCACGAACTTGGTCATGCGGGAGAACGAAGGACTGAACACGCTGTCTGTCAACGTATCTGGTGGCCATGTATACATGAAGATGTAGCGCAATTTTGCAAGAAATGTAACACGTGTTGCCGTTTTAAATCGCCTCAGCAGACACCTCGTGCACCAATGACGCCGATAGTGACAAGAGGACCACATCAGCGAGTCGGCATAGATATCATGGGACCATTGACAACGACAAAGAATGGGAATCGCTACATACTGGTTATGGTGGATTATTTCACTAAATGGTGCGAAGCAGCACCCATTCCACAGCAAGACGCCCTTACTGTTGCTCGAGCTTTTATTGATCATTGGGTTTCTCGTTATGGTGAACCAGTCTCACACCATTCCAACCAAGGTCTAGCCTTTGAAAGTCATCTCATCGCTGAGATATGCCGGCTATTAGGAATCAGAAAGACGCACACCACCGCGTACCACCCAGAGGGTAACGGTCTCGTGGGAAGAACGAACAGAACTATTAAAGCCATCTTACAGTCGTTTGTCAGCAGATTGTCGCCTGAGTAATGGGATAAGGTACTTTCTCAATGCCTTTTAGCATATCGTACGTCAGTACACGGTTCCACGGGATTTTCACCCGCTGTTTTGCTTTTTGGGCACGAATTACACTTACCAGTAGAAATACAGTCACCCCTGCTGCCCTACGAAGAACAAGAGCATGGACCGTACATACGTACGCTCGGCAACCGCTTAGCTGATGCATACCGTCTGGTCAATAATAAGTTGCGCAAGGCTAGTGAACACCAATAAGATATATACGATCGTCAGGTGCAGGAACTAAGGTATACAGTCGGTGATCGTGTCTGGCTACGCCGTCCCATGACTTCGTTAGGGGATTGCAGTAAATCCCATCAGCCCTGGCAAGGCCTTTTTGAAATTGTCCTCATCCGATCCTCCACTACGTTTGTACTACGCAACATACAACGGCCTAACGACCACGTGATAACAGTACACTACAACCAGCTAAAACCGGATCGGAGGACGTTTCTCTCCGATGTTCGGTTCGCCGACCCACCGCCGGCCACGAGATTTTATGAAGTGCCACCTGAAGGAGGTTCAGCATATCCATGCCCAAGACCAGGCGCTGAGGACAGCGCCTCATTAAGGGAGTGGGCGATGTAACAGCGTCAAAATCATTATGTATATTGTGTTAATGGATTCTGTTTTTCCTTCTATTACAGGGCGATCGAAAGTAAATGCTTTAGAAGAGGAAGAACGAGCCTTGCATGCACTGAGCCTGCAGGATGACGCATAAGACTGTTTGGTAAACTAGCTTCCCCTTCTGTACATTCTCGCGAATTTCGATTTTAAAAAATAATAACAAATCTTTGGTGGTTCCATTCCGTGTTATCCCTGTGTTGTGAAGTGCTCAGTTAACATTGTGTGTTTGTGGTTTTAGATCTTCCAGCTTGCTCAAGTGACTGCTGAATACACGAGTTACATATTTATATAATTTTTAATTCGTTTTTGTTGTTATCGCTCATTCTTCTGACTTCTTGCGGAATATACTTCACTGTTTAGACTTCGACCTCTCTCTCTAGTTTAAGGGGCTGAGACGCAAAAGAATAGCTAGTTTATTAATGTTCGGCCACTAGTCTTCGTTCCGTTCTCAGTCTAAATGAACTCTAAATCGCTTCAAACCTAGCAGGAACAATATTTATCAAATTGTAAATAGTAAAACTATTCCAATTTAAACCAGTGAACAATCAAAATAATTGAAATTTAATAAACAACTGTAATATAATGCTAGGCTTTTGAGCGTGCAGAATGTATTGACTCTAATTTATGGACGAGCCAATCAGAAGCGTTTTAGGAATTTCAAGGTCACGGCGCTAAGTTCAATGCAAAATGCTCACATTCGATCATTTTACGGCAGATTTTAGGGAAGGGGTGATTGTTGAGCGACTTCAACCTGTAGGACTATTAAGAAGTTCCTGTATCTGTGACTGCGGCAATCAAATGACTGCAGCACGATGTGTAGACTACCGTGAAGACATTATATTTCGTTGCACTATATGTTGGAGAAAAAAATTTGCTCGAACTGGCACTTTCTTTGCCCGGTCACGGCTCAGGCTAGGACAAATCATGATAATTGTTGCAAATTGAATCATAAAGTCTCCAGTAACATTAGCTGTGGCTTTTGCAGATGTTACGAAAACTTCCGCCGTTCAGTGGTATGAATATTGCTGTGGTATATGCGTAATGAAAATGACACGAGCATATGAATCATTTACAGGAGTTGGAAAGATAGTGGAAATAGATGAGACAGTAGTTAGAAAGTGAAAATACAACAAAGGACGTTTTATCAAGGAAGATTGGGTAAGTAGAACTTCTGTGAATATACTTGACAGGTACTTGGATTTTATGATCGTTCAACTCGAAAGGGACATCTTCAAAGAGTGAGAGACCGTAAGGTAACCACAATAATACTAATCATCAAGGAGTACGTTCAGCCTGGCACCACGATTTATACCGATGATTGAAAGGCGTATAGTTGTCTCGCAAGACTTGGTTTTGTGCATCATGTTGTAGTGCACAAACGTCATTTTGTCGATCCAACGACGGGGGTTCATACAAACAATGTTGAAGGCATGTGGTCTAGGCTGAAGTATTTTTTAAGACTCTACCACGGCCCCAGAGGACAATTACTATGGAGCCATATGAACGAGTTCATATACCGCATGCATTATGATTTCAAAACGTCTGAACCTTTATCAAACCTTAACAAGTTCTTAAATCATGTAAAAGAATAATATCCATTGCAATTCATCAGTTTTTTATAATATATTTTTACTTTATACTAACTCTCTTCTGAATGGCTAATATTCTCAAGGTCACCTGAACATACGTTCAAAGGTCGTCCATAAAATGGAGTTTCCCCACGTTTTTTAGTTTTCAGCCGACTCCAAAAAACAGGAATATCATCGTGTAGAAGCAAAGTAGAAACCACCCTTTTCACATGATATAGAAAAACAATAATCTTGGTAAGTATTCAGGTAGTTGGTTAATCGCACAATGTGAGAATGATCGTTTTAGCCTTTCAACCTTGTAAACAGTTTTTATCTTAAAAATACTCTTATTAGCTAAAAGAGGTTACAGGATTCGCTTATTTCCATAAGTACACAGAAACAGTTATAAACACATTAATGTTGAAATGGAATTTTATTCGTTTACTCAGCTGATAATAAACTAATACATGTATACCGATAGCATTTCTATTGGCTTCATTACATTCACAATTTAAGTAGATTAAGGATAAACATAAAGAAAACTAGATGAATAATACTTACACAATGACATTAATAAATCACGCATTTCACCAGATGATCCACGTTGAATAACTTCAGAGGATATACTTCTGAAATCCTTTCAATAAATTAAAGTCAAGATCAAAGTCGGATCACCGTCATTTAGAAAAACAATTCTATTTTAATCTCACATCAACCATTAATAATACTGTTTTCAAATATTTAACGCAGAATTCACACATATGATCATATATAGAAGCTGTTATAACTTGGTGTTATTTACTTGTATCTTACTATTGTAATTTAGGACTGTAATTGATCAATCTCATATATGATGGCTACTGTCCATCTTTGCTTATAAAGATTGTGATCTCAGGCAATATCGAGGCATTCCACACAGGATGTACATATGTCAATAAGAGATTGATCAATTGCAGTCCTAAATAACAATGGGAAGGTACAAGTAAAAAACAACACCAAGTGAATATAACTTCACCCCATTGCACAAGCAGGTGACTATCAGGACTCAGTAGCTGAAAGTATAACGTGATGGCGTTTGAAGCAGACGGTAGTGAGTTTGACTCCTAAAGTGAACATCAACTTTCAAATGCAGATACATCCGGCTGACGAGTCCCAATTAGGACGAAAGGCACGTCCTGGACTTCGCTGCTAGCCACTATTCATCTTTGCTTACAAATCTGTTATAACGTTTCTAATGTATATGTCTATATAGGAATAGTTAATAGTATCTGTTAATTTACTCACTCGTTGATACATCATATCTAATTCGTCTATTTGAAATGGGTTCAGTTTACAGAGAAGATTACTTGACTGTTGTTGATTATCTCCCCTAAAATCAATAAAATTCAGGATAAAGTTAGAAAATCAATATTGTAAATCAGAAAGAGTGAATTGTTATAAAACTATAAAAATGTGATGATTAAAATAAGATTCACATATACAGTACAATTTATCATGTACAGCTTAGTTTTACTTCGAAGTTAAAATACATGTTATTAAACTAAGATGATGATGACTATAAAGACTATCGTACTGAGCATTATTGACCCCGTAGCAGAGAATTTACTAATCAATTGCAGTGCTAAATAACAGTGAGAAGATACAAGTAAATGTCATCAAGTGAATTTAAAACTTCACACCATTGCACAAGCAGGTGACTATCAGGACTCAGTAGCTAAGTGAATAACGCGATAGCGTTTAAAGCCAACGGTACTGGGTTCGACTCCAAGTGTGAATATCGGCTGTGAGATGCAGGCATTTTCAACTGACGAGTCCCAAATAGGACGAAATGCGCGTTCTGAATTCCATTGCTAGTCACTGCCAGCCATTGTACCGAAATTATGGTTGTCAATTAGATATCCAAGACGTTCACAATTAGATACAGGAGTTGTGTACTCAAAATATACAATCTTTATATGATAATCCAGTCTTACTGAAAATAGTTGAATCACGCATGATTTAGTCATACAGTTGCATAGTTAGTATAGTTGGTTAGACTTTTAGATTAACGAATTTCTAAGAAATATTCAGTGTAACTAATCTGATTGAAGGAGAGCTAAATTTTGTTGTACCGTATCATGAATTACATCCATTTAACGGTTACTTGATGGCTAAGTCAAAATAAACATGAGTTATTCATCCAAAATTTTCTGATTTATTCATTTATAATGCAAACGTAAGTCAACCACGACAGATGGTGTTCTGCTATAGGATGACGAACTTCTCAGAATTGTAAGCCCTATATAACTAGCTCAACAGGAGCATGTGGCGAATTCAGCATTGCACTAAATTACAGTACCAATCATATACAAAAGAAACTTGATCAAGATCCTGACTCATCGTGCTAGAATGATTTACTCGGATGACATCATTATAGATGAACTGGTTAACATTTGTTACTTCCTTAGTAGGAATGGATACCCAACAAAATTCATTGACAAACACATGAAGGAGATGAAAAGTAGAATGAGGGTACCTACCGTTCTAAAGAAATTGTTGTTCTTAAAATTACAATTCCCAAGTGATACTACTGAAAAAATTGTGACTCAGAGATTAAAAAGGGCGGTACAAAAATATTGAATGCAGCCACACTGAGTGCTATCTTCTACAACCATTCCACGATAAAAACGGCTAATAATGACAGATTGCCTGAATTCGCCAAAATCATGTGTATTTATCGATTCAACTGCTCATGTGGAGCCAGTTGTATAGGGCGTACAATTCGGCAAGTTCGTCATCGTATAACAGAACACCACGCGTCGTTGTTAACCAAACGACAGGTAAATATGATCAGGAGTACTATTCCAGCTCACTTGATGGACACAGGTTATCAAGTTGAAATGAATAAAGCTTTGAAGATTATCCACCATATTACATCGAATTCGCCACATGGTTTACGAGTGCACCTTTTTCATATTACTGAAGCCATTGTAATCTATGTTCATTAACCTAAACTTTGCATTTAAAAAAAATGTGTACAACCACTCTCATTACCTTGGCCATTGGTATAAGGGAGTTTGTAGCAGAACTTTGATAAACTATTTTCGTATTTCTTCCATTTTTTGTATTTTCCTTATCTTCAACATTGGTCTCTTGATCTACTGTACTAGTGACCATTCATCAAAATATCCTATTAGTTCCTCCTTGTTTTTATATATTTATATATTTATTTATTTGAACACATAAATATTGGTACAAGAGAGCTTTAAATATATATGCGCCACACAAAATGTTTTTTGTGTGAGCTGTGATACTGCTCGGGTGCCCAAACCGAAGCAGGTGGTTTTCTTAAGGGACCGCACCCGGAGCCTTTGACCTAACGATATGATCCACAAGGTAGTGGAGCATCGTGAGGAAATGCAGTTTCATGGTAGCCGGTGACAAACGATCGGTTCATACGTCGTTTGTTCCCGCAGGATACTGGGGCCCATGTGCACCATTGATTTGGGATCCGGTCAAAGCGCCGGACATTCGCTTTTTGCCCTCTCATTTTTGTAAACAACAGTTATGCCACGAGACTGTAGTGAGTAGGACATCCCTGGCAGAGGCTGTATAAGCGTGGCTGTGTAAAAGAATTTCGAGAGGGGGCGTGCTCATCGCACTCTCGGCCATACCAGGGCATTTAGGGGCTTTTATGTATTATACAACGTAGTAATCTCTTGATTTTCAAATAAATACTTTCAATATCATTAATAATCTTTCTTAGTCGTCTATATGTCATTATATAATTACTACGTTACGCATCCACTCGATGAGTATTACTTCATTATTGTAAATCATATTTATATTAGCTTAATTGTTGAATTCATGAGTCAATTGAAGCTAGACCACCATGGAAAACATGGAAACACTGGACGGCCGTTTCTTCCTATTGTGAAACTCCTCAGCAATGCGCATCCACGATCCCTTCAGGCGAGAGTCGACTCTAGGATCTATCAGTCTTGCAAGCGTTAGCGCAACTTCGTGGATTGACTGAAGTTGGACATTAACACCGTTGGATGCCGGCTCAATGGTCTATGGTTAAGCGCTAGCGTGCAAAACTGGTAGATCCTGGGTTCGAGTTTCACCGGGCGGGACTGCGGATGTACACTGCTGAGAAGCCCCACGCTAGGATGAAACGGAGATCCAGTGTCCGCAAGGTTTTTCATGATGGTCTAGCTTCAATTGACTCATGAATTCAACAATTAAATTACTGTAATATTAACAAAATCCCTCTCTGATAATATATATTAATGTAAAAACTAATTGGAAAGAAATTAGTTAAGTGAATACATTCCCTTAACATACATAATGAAACAAGGATAAACTTACATTGAATTCATTTGTTTCAACAAAATATGAAACGTTTTACTAACTTCACTCATATTAACTATTGGTTTAAAAACATCATCATCCATTAGTTGTTGTTTAATTTTAATTTTTCTTGTTTCAACTACACATTTTATAAATACTTGTGTAGATTTTCCAAATTGTTTTTCTATACTCTTCCAAATGGATTCATTTGAATCTGTAATGTTTAACGATAGTACAAAATAGAATGTCAACTATTGTTATTTTGTTTATTTTTTCTTTCCTACTTACTTACTTAATTACTCCTGTTACTCGTCGAGAAGGAGGAGGAGGAGGAGCACCATTCATTATCTAAACAAAAGAGGAATTCCTATCAAACATTATCTAAAAGTGACTATAATTGCCGGGTATAACAATAGAATTAGTCTTTTTTATGAGTTAGCATTAGATTGTAATGTAGTCAAAAATTGAAATCAAATAATCTATTATAAGTTTTTTTTACCATGTGTTCCGAATTAACAAAGGAATTTGAATATTGGGGAAAGGACACTACTGGTGGAACATGCTGATGAGGACACTCGTGGAGAAAATACAGTTATTCTTAAGTAAAAACCTTCGTTTTGGCAAAATTCCTCGATTTTCTAGCAACTAAAAGCGTACTACAACTCCGCCTGGAGTCCCTTTCCGGGGTCTACTGCCGGTCCCAAGCCCGGATAAAGGAGGAGGGTTGGGCATGGGGTTAGCGACCCCATCCCGTAGAAAACTAACTCGCTAAAAAACGCTAACCAGAAAAAATTATTCAAACCATTTACACTCTGCCCTGGGAGTCAGGAGGTCTTCGTTTAGAAGAATTATGACGCCTCATGATGAAAGCTGAGCTTCTTCGGAAGTCACGAGGCCAATGCCCCTTCTGACAACCAGAGCAACCATTTATTTAGGTAGCTTCAGGGGAGCTGCTGTTATACTCCGAACATGAACAAGAAAATGCTCCACATACACAAGGAGTTGCATTGATGGTGTCCAAACAAGCACAAAATGCACTTATAGGATGGGAATCTCATGGACCAAGGATCACCAAAGCGTCCTTCAAAACAAAGAAAATGGGGATTACAATGAACGTCATCCAATGCTACGCGCCTGCCAATGACTACAATGAAGACGCTAAAGATCAATTCTACGATAGGCTGCAGTCAATCGTCGAGAAGGGCCCAACAAAAGACCTGACTATTCTGATGGGAGACCTAAATGCCAAGGTTGGAATTGACAACACTGGATATGAAGAGATCATGGGACGACACGGACCGGGAGAAAGGAACGAAAATGGTGAGAGATTTGCAAATCTATGTGCCTTCAATAAACTAGTCATAGGCGGGACTATATTCCCACATAAACGCATACACAAAACCACATGGACTTCACCGGATCACAGCACACAGAACCAAATCGACCATATCTGCATCAACAAAAAGTTCAGGAGGACGATGGAGGACGTGAGAACAAAGAGAGGAGCTGATATAGCATCAGATCATCACTTGCTGGTCGCCAAGATGAAATTGAAACTCAAGAGGCACTGGACAACGGGAAGGACAATATCCCAAAAGTTTAATACGGCTCTTCTTCGGGATACTGACAAACTCAATAAATTCAAGATAACCCTCAGCAATAAGTTCCAAGCCTTTCATGATCTACTCAATGGAGAAGGAACTACTATGGAGAGCAACTGGAAAGAGATAATAGAGACAATCACTTCAACATGTCATGAGGTTCTGGGCCAAAAGAAGCACCATCACAAGGATTGGATCACGGTCGATACACTGGATAAGATTCAAGAAAGGAGGAACAAGAAGGCAGCAATCAATACCAGTCGAACAAGAGCAAAAAAGCCAAGGCACAGGCTAAATACACAGAAGTAAACAAGCAAGTGAAAAGGAGCATCAGAACCGACAAACGTAAATATGTGGAAGATTTGGCATTGACGGCGGAAAAGGCTGCGAGAGAAGGAAACATGAGACAACTGTATGACACAACAAAGAAACTCTATGGAAATCACCGTAAACCAGAACGACCAGTGAAAAGCAAGGAAGGCAAGATAATCACCAACATTGAAGAACAACGAAACAGGTGTGTAGAACACTTCAAAGAACTCTTGAATCGACCAGCCCCACTGAACCCACCCAACATCGAAGCAGCACTCACGGACCTCCCAATTGATGTCGACGCACCGACAATTGAAGAAATCAGCATGGCTATCAGACAAATCAAGAGTGGCAAAGCAGCAGGACTAGACAGCATTCCAGCAGAGGCACTGAAAGCAGACGTAGCGGCAACTGCAAGGATACTCCAAACTCTCATCAGAAAGATCTGGGATGATGAACAGGTACCAAAAGACTGGAAAGAAGGACTTCTAGTCAAAATACCAAAGAAAGGCGATCTCAGCAACTGTAACAACTACAGAGGAATCACTCTTCTTTCAATACCAGGAAAAGTCTTCAACAGGGTATTGTTAAACAGGATGAAGGACTCCGTAGACGCCCAACTTCGAGACCAACAGGCAGGATTCCGTAAGGATAGATCGTGTACAGACCAAATCGCAACTCTACGGATCATTGTGGAACAATCAATAAAATGGAATTCATCACTCTATATCAACTTCATCGAATATGAAAAAGCATTTGATAGCGTGGACAGAACAACACTATGGAAGCTTCTTCGACACTACGGCGTGCCTCAGAAAATAGTCAATATCATACAGAATTCCTATGATGGATTAAACTGCAAAATCGTGCATGTAGGACAGTTGACAAAGTCGTTCGAAGTAAAGACCGGTGTCAGGCAAGGTTGCTTACTCTCACCCTTTCTCTTTCTCCTGGAGATCGACTGGATCATGAAGACATCAACATCTGAAGGGAAGCACGGGATACAGTGGATAGCTAGGATGCAATTGGATGATCCAGACTTCGCAGATGATCTGGCTCTTCTATCGCATACGCAACAACAAATGCAGGAGAAGACAACCAGTGTAGCTGCAGCCTCAGCAGCAATAGGTCTCAATATACACAAAGGGAAAAGCAAGATTCTTCGATACAACACGGAATGTACCAATCCAATCACAATTGACGGAGAAGCTTTGGAAGATGTAAAAACCTTTACCTATTTGGGCAGCATCATCGATGAACACGGTGGATCTGATGCAGATGTGAAGGCACGGATCGGCAAAGCAAGAGCAGCATACTTACAACTGAAGAATATCTGGAACTCAAAACAATTGGCAACCAACATAAAGGTCAAGACTTTCAATACAAATGTGAAGACAATTCTACTCTATGGGGCGGAAACCTGAAAAACCATCATCCAGAAGATACAGGTGTTTATTGACAGTGGTCTACGCAAAATACTTCGGATCCGTTGGCCAGACACTATTAGCAACAACGCACTGTGGGAGAGAACAAATCAGATCCCATTGGAGGAAGAAGCGCTGGAAGTGGATAGGACACACATTGAGGAAAGCACCGAACTGCGTCACAAGACAAGCCCTCACTTGGAATCCTCAAGGCCGAAGGAGGAGTGTATGACCAAACGACATATTACGTCGGGAAATGAAGATGGAAATGAGAAAAATGAACAAGAATTGGATGGAACTAGAAAGGACGGTGCTGGACATAGTGGGTTGGAGAATGCTGGTCGGCGGCCTATGCTCCATTGGGAGTAACAGGCGTAAGTAAGTAAGTAAGTAAGTAAGTAAGTAAGTAAGTAAGTAAGTAAGTAAGTAAGTAAAGGCGTACTACGCTTATAAGATTTTGAGATGGTGGAGATTTATAGCTCAGGTAGATGATTTTGATGGAGTTTTTTTTTGTTCAGCTAGATGGTTCGGTCGTAGAGCTTTCGTCGTTCTTCTGAACGAAATCATCAGTACAAACTTCTACTAAACCATCCAGTTCGAAGAACAAAACTCCATCAAAAAACGACACTATATTGGATTATGATTATTAATAAAATGAGAAAAGATCTGTAGAACGAAATAAATACTATGTTAGTCTTTCATTGTTCCAAATGTAACTTGAAGTGGAAATTTTTTCAAAATGCTTCAATGAAATTCCTTTGGCGAATACTTAAACTAGAAGGTTATTTATTTAATGTAATCATAAAACAGTTGAGAAATCAACTAGAATTGAATGTTTTGAATCAATAAAACTACAGTATTATAACAACATGATAATAAGTAGAAATGATTATGATTGGGAAGATAATGTAATGATTATCCGTTCAGTGAAATCTATCATTTCTGTGTTTTTAAGACTGATACCTACCTGAGATGAACTAAAAATGAAAGAATTGTGTTACAGATTTGATTGTTACTAAGAATTGCATAAATATATGATATGGAACAATCAATTGACTGGAATTCATCACTCTACATCAACTTTATTGACTACGAGAAAGTATTTGATAGCGTGGACAGGAAAACACTATGGAGGCTTCTTTTACATTACGGCGTGCCTGAGAAGAAAGTCAATATCATACAGAATTCCTATGATAGATTATACTGCAAAGTCGTGAATGGAGAACAGCTCACAAGCTCGTTTGAAGTAAAGAACGGTGTCAGGCAAGATTGTTTACTCTCACCCACCTTCTTTCTGCTGGTGATGTCAACATCCGAAGGTAAGCATGCGATACAGTGGACATCTAAGATGCAACTGGACGATATAGACTTGGCAGACGATCTGGCTCTCCTATCAAACACACAACAACAAATTCAGGAGAAGACGACCAGTATTGCAGCAGTCTCAGAAGCAGTAGGTTTTAACATACACAAAAAAGCAAGATTCTCTGTTACAACACAGCATGCACCAATCCAATCACGATTGACGAAGAAGATTTAGAAGATGTAAAAACCTTTACAAATACGGGAAGCATCATTGATCAACACGGTGGATCTGATGCAGACGTGAAGGCGCGGATTGGCAAAGAAAAAGCATCAAATCCACCATTGAAGAACATTTGGAACGCAAAACAATTGGCAACCAACACCAAAGTCAGAATATTCTATTCAAATGTCAAGACAGTGCAACTGTGTGGGGCGGAAACCTGAAAAACTACGAAAGCCATCATCCAGAAGATACAAGTGTTTATTAACAGTTGTCTACGCAAATTACTTCGGATCCGTTGGCCAGACACTATTAGCAACAACCTACTGTGAGAGAACAAATTAGATCCCAGTGGAAGAAGAAATCAGAAAGAAGTGCTGGAAGTGGATAGGACACACATTGAGGAAAGCACACAACCGCACTAAAAGACAAGCCTTCGCTTGAAATCCCCAAAAACAAAGGAGGAGAGCAAGACCAAAGAACATATTAAGCCAATAAATGGAGATGGACATGAGAAAAGTGAACAAGAATTGGATGGAACTAAAAAAAGAAGGTCCAAGACAGAGTGGGTTAGAGAATGCTGGTCGGCTTCCTATGCTTCATTAGGAGTAACAGGCGTAAGTAAGTAATTAAGTAAGTATGATAAAATCTAGAGTATTACTAACATAATTTATAAACATTTTCCACTTGACTAAATTCATTTTCCCAGAAATCCATTAATATACTAGTTGTTAATTGTATATTTGATGTATATATTGCTTTATATAGTTCTTCAGCAAATAAGATTGATATATCTGTTAATAGATCTTGAAGTAATAGTTTCAAATTATTCGGTTTAACATGATCCATTTCATTCATTAATGACTATAGAATGAAGAAAACAAAGTAACGTTATGAGTAATCATGTAAAACGAATGTGAAACCAAGTATTGAATTTATGCATTTATTTCAATAGTTAAGATCATGAGTCTATTAAAGTTAGACCACCATGGAAAACTTAAAGGCACTGGATGGCTATTTCGTGCTATTTTGAAACTCCTCAGCAGTATGCATACACGATTTCGCCTCGCGCTTAACCAGTAGACCATCGCGTTATCCACTTATCTACTGAGTCCTGATAGCCAATTGTTATTCTTCGGCTGACGAGTTCCAAATCAGACGAAACGCGTGTCCTTGATTCCACTGCCAGTCACTATCCATCTTTGTATATAATGTTATACATGTTCATCATATATCAGATATACATATATGAAAATCGATAATACAAATAAAACGTATAGTATGTTTACAAAGAGTACAGTTTAAACATTGTCGTTAATGTTGTAAATGTATATTAACCTTGATAAATGTGGAAAATATAAACCTTTGAAAATCTTGGCTGACAACTATTTAATTACTACACTCAAAATGCATTCACATAAATTTATTTATTTATTTATCTAAACACATAAACATTGATACAAAGAGGCACCAAATGGATATGCAACACATAAATCTTTCGATTTTGATGAGGGCTGGGATACTTCTTGGGTGCCCGAACCCAATAAGGTAGTTTTCTCAATGGGTTATACCCAGAACCTTCGAGCTAAATGTCTAATCCACAAGATAGTGGAGCAAATTAAAGAAATGCAGTCATATGGTAGCCAGTAACCAACGATTGGTTCATACGCCATTTAGTCCTTCAGGATACTTGAGTCCATGGACACTATTAGTTTGCAGTCAGGGTTTTCCAACTCCCCTAGGTGGACCGTCCATGTCCACCAATCCGGTAAAACCGCAGGACATTCGCTCTCCGTCCTCTCAATTTCTTAAACAACACCAGTGGTGTGAGAAGGCAGTGAACAGGACTCCCTTGTCAGTGGCTGTTTGCAATTTGAGAGCATATCAAGAAAGTGAGCTGACTCTCCCCACTCTCGACCGTACCATGGCCGATTAAACACTACCTCATTTCTCTTGAGAAACATAGAAAAAGAGGTGTGAGTGCAGTACTTACAGTTTTAGAAATATTGTTGTAACGGATTACAATTTGTTGGCGTTGAGCATTTGTTCGTGCTAATAAAATTTCTAAAATCATATCATATTTTTGTTCTATAAAGGATAAAAAAGAAAACGATTTGAAATGGATCTATTAGGTGAATATGACTGTCATTAATTATGAATTGATGAATTACATTAAAAAAACATATAAATATAGTTTTAATTTATTGAGATCATAAGTCAATTGAAGCTAGACCACAATGGGAAACCTGGAAGCACTGAACGGCCGTTTCGTCCTATTATGGAACTCCTCAGCAGCGCGCATCCACGATCCCACCTCGCGGGATTCGGACACACTTCCTACTCGCGCGCGAGCGCTTAACCACTAGACCACTGAGCCGGCATCTAATTGTCTTAATGTCTACCTTCAACTAATCCACGAAATTGAGCGACACATCCACCATTGTCTTCAGTGAGTTACTATCTCATAACTAACCCGGTTGAACTCCACTAGTCACTCCTTCTCACTAGAACTCCAGGATATACGCCTTGAAGCCAGTCACTAGTGAGTATATGTTGATTGTTATCAGAAGGTAGTTTTGTGGAGATTGTAGTAATTTCAATTGTTGAGAGCAGAAGTCAATTGAAGCTAGACCACCATGAAAAACCTGGAAACACTGGACGGTCGTTCTGTCCTATTGTAGGGCTCCTCAGTATTGCGCATGGTTTCATTCAATGAAATATCACCTTTAGTATAAGGTTTTAGATCTTCTATAAAATCTTTGAAAATTATTATAGATATCTATAACCTATGTTGATCACGATGAACCATAACAAGTTTAGTAAGCGTAGTGCATTATTCCGTTTCAAACATGTGTAGCAGAGATGTGTTATATCCCGACAAAAATAATGAATGACAACTGTTAGTATCCATCCATGGACTACTACTATACTTATATTCTTATTGTATAATTATTAGTTAACTAATCTATGCACATTCATGTTTTTCTCTTGCTATATGCTTGACCTATGAACTATTATTATACGATTTACCATTCTTGATTTATGCCCAGTCTAATAATTACAGTCTCCTACATTCACAGACACTTTTGGCTAGATCTTGTACAAATGTGTATTTTCTATTTTATAGTATGATGCAGACTGTTTAGTTTGTATATAAACCCAGTATGTTTGAAATACATGATTCATATTATGATGTGTGCTACTTATATAGACATAAGTAGTTAGGAATAGAATGTCTGGCAGCAGGACATGAAGATGAAGGAGGAAAGAACTGGAACAGAAAGCAATTGATATGGAAATGCGGAAACAATGAAGTTTGAGATGACTGAGTGATATTTGCAAAAAAATTTCAATTTTTTAGAAGATTGGTATTGTGCAATTGAAGTATTCACTGTAAGTTTGCAAATGGTAAATGGTTCTCAGAATAGTTACTCATGATTGTCATTATTTGTGGAGGTTGTAGTAATTTAATTCATGACTGAATTGAAGATAGACCACCAAGGAAAACCTAGAAGTACTTGACAGCCGTCTCATTCTAACATGGGACACCTTGTGGTGACCTACTTTTGTCAACAGAACGCGATTGGTTCGATGAAAACAATTATTATTATAACCAATTGTACCAGTGACTGTTTTACTATGCTCGTCTGTTTAACTATGCTAATGACAGCCATTACACTTACTCTCCCGTTGACTTTGAACTCGGTTGAGCTTGGTAACCACGTCTGTACTCCTTCGGCAGGATCTCGGTATTCTTTCGATACCACGAGATCGCCAGCAAATACATCTCGACTACAGCCATCATCTGCCTTCTGATATTTGTCTACGAAGGTCTTTTTGGTTAATTGGCACGTAATCTTGTAGCGGTGTTCATAGTCAAGCTCAACTCGACACCAAGCTACAACCTCATCAGTGTGCATCCACGATCTCGCCTCTCGAGATTCGAGCCCAGGACTAATCGGTCTCGTGCGCGAACACTTAACCTCTAGATCACTGAATCCGCATCCAACGGCCGTACGGTGCTTCCAGGTTTTCCATAATGTTTTAGTTTCTATTGACTCAGGAATTCAACCTATTGTATAATATATTTCAAAACCTTTTTAGCAATCTAACTAATGGTGTATAAATATGGATAAAGTCTAGTTTTATAAGAAATATTTAAAATTGAACTTACCTTTAGTTTTAGTTGTAATATTGTGGACATCATTATCAACAGAAAAGTTGTTACTGGTTACTATTTTTGGTTGAAAAATGTATCCTTGTGAATCAACCTTATTTAATGGTGAACGAATAAATATTGGTCTGAAATCATGCAAAAATGGATTGTATGTAAAGATAAATATTAACGCGGTTTCTTTCTTCAAACTGGATGGATTGATCGTTGAACTTTCATTGTTCTTCTGAATGATATCATCAGATAGAAGTCGACCTGAAGTTTGTGCTGATGATTTCGTTCAGAAAAACGATGAATGCTCCACGATCAAACCCTCCAGCTCAGAAAACAAAACTCCATCAAAAAAAAAACAAATGAGCTACAAATTATCTCCACTATGAAGATAAATCTGTTAAAATTAACTGAAACAATGAATTTATTTCAATAAACATCGTGAAGAAACACTGTTGGATACCATGTCATTGGTCTAGAGGTTAAGCGTTCGCGTGCAGGTTTGAAGGCTCTGGGCTTGAATCCCATAAGTGGGATCGTGGATGAGCACTGCTTAGTAGTTTCTCAATGGTGTGACATATACATAAATCAAATCGTGATAATCAACATTTTTAAAACAAAAATTTATTCCATGGATTAGTTGAAGTTAGACATTAACACCATTGGATGCCGGCAAGTTCAATAGTCTAGAAGTTAAGTGTTCGTGCGCGTGATCGATAGGTCCTGTGTTGAAATCTCGCGAGGTGGGATTGTGGGTGTGCACTGTTGAGAAGACGCACAATGAAACGGAATGGACGAAACATTTTCTTGTGTCTGCATAAATTAGGTTATAGAATTAAATTTGAAAATTATGGATTCTTCTTGAATATGTTTCGAACTATCGTAGACAATATATTGATATCCATAGTCATTCATTCATAATGGGGTCAAGAAACGATCTTTCTTGAAAAAAAACCAACTAAAACAGTGAGAGTACTAGAAGTTTGTCTCATTCTAGTAAAAATCCTCAGAGGTGTGTATTCACGATTTTGCCAAAGAGAGTCGAAGTGGAATGAGAATGTTCAGGCTCTTAATCATTGAGCTAACATCATATGATATGAAAGTCTAACGGCAATCAATCCACGATACTGACTAACCATATCTCTTTATCTTCGACCGATATTTATCTCACAATTGAATTGGCTACATTCCATAACCACGACTTCTCACCAGAATTAAAGAAGTTTGCTTTTACAGTTTGTCACTAGCGAATGACTAAGGTGTGTAGTGACCTACTTTTGTCAACAGAACGTGATTGGTTCAATGAAAACAATTATTATTATAGCCAATTGTACCAGTGATTATTTTACTGTGCTCATTTGTTTAACTGTGCTAATGACAGCCATATTAACTTTTCATTGGCCTTCATTACATTCTGCGCGGTTTGTGACTATGTACGCACGTACACCGTCCTGTTGATTCCACTTGTATCATTTTGGCACGATCTTGGTATTCGTTCGATACCACGAGATCGCCAACGAATAAACTTGGTTACAATCTATTCTCACCTTCTGATTTGCTTGGTACGCGTTCAACTTGTAGTGGTGTTCATAGTTAATCTCGACTCGACTCCACGCTACAGGTGTATCACATACTAATAATCATTACATTGAATAAACATAAACATACTTCAGGACATGCTTATTTAATCTAGTTACACTTACAGTGTTTTATTATATGACTGTAAATAAAAATTATGGTGGAATATTGGATTGTCAGTGATTAAATATAAATAAATTTATGAATTCACTGCATACTAACTCCATATTCAAAATGAACTAAGCTTCTAGTCGATAATTTTATCTTCTGATTCTTCAACTTTACCAAAATTTGTAATCGCAAATGCTGTGGTACGGCCGAGAATTAGGAGAGTCAGCTCTCCCTCTCAAAATGTTCTCACATAGCCACGTGTAAACAACCATTGTCAGGGAAGTCTCACTCACTGAATGCTCTCAGTAATAATATTGTTTACGAAATTGAGAATACTAAAAGAGAATGTTTGGCACATAAATGGGTTGATGGACAAAGAAGTCAAGCAATATGAAACGATGAAATAAGGATAAGGATTTATTAAGACCAATTGTCAAACATTGATCACTATACAACAAAATCTTATTATCACCAAGTGAAACTGAACACTTTTATATTTTGTTTGCATTCTGAAAAGCTTATAAACATAACAGGAGATATCCTCTTGTTTGTATCACCATAGAAATTATCAGCAGGGTATATTTACATATCAGTCAGTATCTATGTATGTTCTCAGTGAATGTCACGTCTAACAATAATTTTGCAATAAAAGACCTATCGAACAAGTTGCAATTTGACCACCAGTCTGGGTGAATCAACATTCCGTGCACTATTATGAGATTGTGTGAAAAACAGTCAGAATAGTTGATTATAGCTGACCTGCGTCTTTTCCAGTAAAACTAGATTTCCCCCTAAACTATATTCAGTTTTACAATAATCACACGTGTAACATATTAAAATGTGATAATCACAATTTAGTTTACCTGAAGTATCTTCAATGTGGTTTCTACAAGAATGAAAATAATCAGCATGTTAAATGTCGAAATTACTATGGGTGAGACTGTAATTTATGGACAAACTGTGAGCGACGCCATAGACACATTGAGAGTGCCCGCCCACCTTATAACCACGAACAAATGATGTTTATAATGCACTGTGAGGAATTACAACTATGATTGACAGTTGATGGGGTTAAGGTTAGGAATTCGATTTCGGGTTTTCATCACCAACTCACATCAACTATAATGCCAAAACTCTATTCAAACAAGTGGATGAGTGAATTTCGCATCAAAATCCCTCATCTCCTATCATATACCTGATTGGTTCGTCCATAAATTATAGTCTCGGTGTATTATGCATTCATTCATTCATTCATTCATTAATTTAGTCTGCCTAATAGCATCAGTTGTAAAAATGGATATTCATTTAACAAGCTCTACATATACACACAACACGTTAGTATTCACAGAGGTTTATACATTTACTGATAAGGTGTCCATAGATAAAGAAAATCCTATTCTGGTTCAGTAATATCAATAGGTCGGCTTACTTCTTGTTTCATTTCCTATTCTGTGGACATCTATTACAGTGGTCATTGGGTGAGTGACATTCTCTGTCTGACTAACAATTCCATCAGTTCTGGTATGATCTGTTGTTGAATGAGTTGTCTGTGGTCTGAAACGAAGTAAAGTCAAACAATTTGTGTAATCAAACAACATCAAAGCATCTTTTTATACTTGATATTAAATACTAATGAAATGTGTCATATACCAACCGAAATGAATTAGCTGGCTAAATCCATCCACAAAACTTACACTAATTCATTTAGTTTGTTTATCAAACGTTCTTGATAATCTTTGTCGTTTAGTATTGTAAACTATAGATTTCTCTTATCAGTTGTTTCTAAGTATTGTGATAAATTGTCCAGAACGTCGCTAGAGCTAAATGTCTGCGGTTACATTGATCACTTTGATGGTTTCACTCATTGAGAGAATACTCTATACATTAGTGTGATTTCTAATTGCGACAAGCATTTTGATCATTTTTTCGATTTATCAATTCATATTATTTGTTAACCTCACAAACATAGACAAATACAAACAGTCAGAATGCAATGAACATAATGTAAATTGAAGATTTTTTACTCAATAACAAAAGATCTGATGAGTTCCCTTATTATTAAGAAATTTGTAAAAAGTTATTTTTTGTGATACATTGTGTTGTGTGCTACTGATGTCCAATAATAAAAGTAGTATGTATCATGAATCGATATTGAAATGACTGCCAGCTAATGAGTAATAAGATCGGAGAAAAACAGAACAAGATTGCAGTGGAAGTGAATAAATAAGATCATACGGCCTGTTTGAATATCTAGGCTACCTGTTCCTGCCATTTGGATATTTCAACAAGTTATCTATTTTTTTCTTGTTTGTTTTAACACATCAATATGCCTATTAGTCTCATAACCTATTCAGGTGCGTTTGTGAAAAGTTTACGGCATTTCGCTGTTCATGTTTTAAAAGAGCTTAATCAGAGACATCATGGTTACTGGCAATACACATCAAAAAGGATATACATTTATCAGATGTCGATTCTTGAACCACTAACATCTAACTGGCGACCACTCAATATTTATCGCAAGGAACTGATCAAGAAATAAGAAAGGTAAACTTGTTGAAATAGTTTGTGCTGAAAAATCTATATTATACCAAAAATATAATATTGAATAAAGCCACTAATAATAATAATCATAATAACTCAGAAGGCTTAGACGATTGATTGACAGTTTGAAAATGAAGCATTTACTGTATGGTTTGCAGATTTTACTAAGACGTAATTTGTGTAATTTTTGTCTCCCAATACATTCGATTGTCTCTACTTGTGTTCACCTTCACTACAATATGAGTGAAATTATTTGTAAGTTGAAACAATAAAGACGATTTAACACTAACCCTACGAGAAAATCTTGTTGAAAACTATTTACACTGACAGGTTTGAGTGAACAAAATGTCAAATATGCACGCATTTCGTCAAGTATATTTCTGTTATCAGTCATCACAGTGTCTATACCCATTACACTCCTAAATCGGTAACAATGTCATAGCTTCATTCAAGTTCACTAAAACGTCACATTCTGAATAACTTTCAACTGAATTGATAACGAAAAGTTAGGTAAGAGGAAGTAATATCGTTTGTGAAGAAATTTCAGATTTCTAAGGAGAGAGACCCACTGAGTCATTAAAACAGAATAGTTATTATTCAGCGAAAATGTTATTGTCCAATGAATGAAATATGACGAGAAACCTGTGAGAAATCCTTACAACAACCATGTCTGATATTTCACAATAGTATTATTCACATGAAGTACATAAGAAAGATATCTCCTTTAGTCTTACACCAGCCTCATAAGAGGTGTGCACTGACGATTCCAATAAACAGAGTTGAACTGAGGACCTTTAGTCCAGAATTTCAATGATCAGCCTATAGACCATTGAGCCACAATCCGATGATGTCATAGTCTAACGGCAATCAATCCACGATTCCGACTAACCATATCTCTTTATCTTTGACCGATATTCATCTCATACCAGGCATAACTAGACTGTGTATCCACGACTTCTCACCAGAATTAAAGACGTTCGCCTCCAAAGTTCGTCATTACCGACTAAATCATGTGTATCAATATCTCGAAATGGAGAAGTTCGGATTATGCTAAGACCACGAGTGTGTCGGCAAATAGACATTTACACATAGAATACAATTACAAATGATCACACAATATTTGGGATCGATGATATTAAGAAATGTATACGATCATCAATAAGTGATCAGGTGGTATAGAGGCAATCCTTTCACTTTCCACATCGAATCTCCTTCTTTGCAGGATCATGGATACACACTGCTGAGCAGTTCTATACTAAGACAAAATAACAATCAAGTGATTCCGATTCTTTGGTTGTTATCTGTTACCTCTCAAATTGTGATCTCAATATAATTTACCAAACTTTGTGCCACATACTCATGATCATTTCATTAACTAGACATAAACATTACTCAGGACATCTTTGTTTGATACAAATATACTTACAGTTGTTTATCAGATGACTGTGAAATAAAATCATAGTGGAATATGTGATTGTCAATGAATAAATATAAATAACTGTATTATTCATCGAAAATAGAATATTCACATAAGTTTATGAATTATGTTATTCATATTAAAAGTAAACTAATCTCCTAGTCGATAGTATTAACTACTGATTCTTCAATTTTATCTACCAATACGTACCTGCAAATGCCCTGGTACGTACGGTCAAGGGTGTGAAGAGTCAGTTCTCTTTCTCTTCCTTAAAATGCTTTCACATGGCCACGTGTTTACAACCATTGCCAAGGAAGCCCCACTCTCAGCCTGCTCACGGCAATACTGTTCTTAATGAAATTGAAAGGACGAAAAGCGATTTTCAAGCTCTATAACCGGGTTGGTGGTCACAGACGTCCAGCTGGGGGAGTTGGAAAACCCTGATACCAAATCAATGGTGCACATGAACTCAAGGGTTCAGAAGAAACAAATGAGGTGTGAATCAGTTATTTGTTACTGGCTAACATGTGATTGCATCTATTGACGTTACTCCACTGACTTGTGAATTAGACATTTGGGTCGAAGGCTCCGAGTGTGTTTTCAAAAGAATACCACCTGTTTTGGTTTGAAAAATCAGGCAGTAAACCATCCATCACATTGTTTAAAAAATAAATGAGTCGCATATCTATTTAGTGCCTACTTGTACCAATGTTTATGTGTTTAAATAAAAAAAAATACACATTATGAGACGATGAAATGTGCGTATGGATTTGTCAAGACCAATTGTCCCATTTCGGTCACTTTACAACAACATCTATTTATCATTAAGTGAAACTGAAAACTTTGGTGTTCTATTTGCATTATTAAAAGCTGCTATAGATAAATGGAGAAATATTCTAGTGTTCTTCTTCAGCACAGAAATTATCAGCAAGGTATATTTGCTTACCAGTCAGTATCTATGTTTGTTCATAGTGAATGTCACGTCTAACATTAATCTTGCAACAGCATATACCTAATCCACATTATTGATTCGTCGTCAATCAGTATCATAATATTGCATAACATTCTGTCCACATTTTTGTTTCATTCACAATTATCTACAGACAACATATCATCAACTGTCAGAGATGAGTTTAGTAAATTGTACTATTGATTGATCACTGGTTAGTGATCATGTAAGTCAAGTAAGTCAGGTCCTCCTTTGTGCTGATCGAAACAAATTGATCAAGTTACAATTTGACCACCAGTCTGGTTGAATCAACATTCCGTGCACTATGATGAGATTGTGTGAAAAACAGTCAGAATAGTTGATTATAGCTGACCTGCGTCTTTTCCAGTAAAACTAGATTTCCCCCTAAACTATATCCAGTTTTACAATAATCACACGTGTAACATATTAAAATGTGATAATCACAATTTAGTTTACCTGAAGTATCTTCAATGTGGTTTCTACAAGAATGAAAATAATCAGCATGTTAAATGTCGAAATTACTATGGGTGAGACTGTAATTTATGGACAAACTGTGAGAGACGCCATAGACACATTGAGAGTGCCCGCCCACCTTATAACCACGAACAAATGATGTTTATAATGCACTGTGAGGAATTACAACTATGATTGACAGTTGATGGGGTTAAGGTTGGGAATTCGATTTCGGGTTTTCATCACCAACTCACATCAACTATAATGCCAAAACTCTATTCAAACAAGTGGATGAGTGAATTTCGCATCAAAATCCCTCATCTCTTTTCTTATACCTGATTGGTTCGTCCATAAATTATAGTCTCGGTGTATTATGCATTCATTCATTCATTCATTCATTTATTCATTCATTCATTAATTTAGTCTGCCTAATAGCATCAGTTGTAAAAATGGATATTCATTTAACAAGCTCTACATATACACACAACACGTTAGTATTCACAGAGGTTTATACATTTACTGATAAGGTGTCTATAAATGAAGAAAATCTTATTCTCATTCAGTAATACCAATAGGTCAGCTTACTTCTTGTTTCGTTTTCTGTTCTGCGGACATCTATTACAGTGGTCATTGGGTGAGTGACATTCTCTGTCTGACTAACACTTCCATCAGTTCTGGTATGATCTGTTGTTGAATGAGTTGTCTGTGGTCTGAAACGAAGTAAAGTCAAACAATTTATGTAATCATACAACTTTAAAGCATCCTTTGATACTTACTAGTAAATACTACTGAAATGTGCGATATACCAACGGAAATAGGTTAGTAGTTGGCTGAAATCAAAAGTGTAACAATCCTTTATCATGATATCTTCAGTTGTATGACACAAATTTCAGTATTTTGACGAAGTTTAATTCACGAATGTTTTTCAGTACACTTATAAGTACAGAAGTTGAAGAAATTTCGTTTTGAACGTCACTAGACCTAAAGGTTTAGGTTTACAAACATACATTAGTGTGATTTGTGATTTCGATTAGTATACTGATCATTTGTTTGAATTTATCAGTTCATATAGTTTGCTAACTCCACAATCAGAGACAAATACAAATAGTCAGAATGCATTGAATATAATGTAAATATAATTTGAAGACTTTTCCTCAATAACTAAGGGACTAATACGTTTCCTCATTATTACAAAATTTGATAAAAGTTATTTTTTGTCATATGTTGTGTTGTGTGCTACTGATGTCCAATAATATTAGTAGTATGTGTCATGAGTCGAAAGTGATATGCCTGCCAGCAGAAGATTAAGAAGATCGGATAAAATGAACGAGAACATAGAATGATTTCAGTTGGAAGCGAATAAACATAGGGGTCTGAGACGATTGATTGACAGTTTGAAAATGAAGCATTTACCGTACAGTATTCAGATAGGTGAGAGAAAACACGGAATACAATGGATAGCTTGGAACCAATTAAACGACTTGAACTTCGCAGATCATCTAGCTCTTTTATCGAATACACACATACAAATGCAGATAAAGACAGCCAGTGTAGCAGCAGTCTATGCATCGATAGGCTTCAACATACACAAAGAGAAAACCAAGGTCCTCAAATATAAAACGGAGAACAACAATCCAATCACACTTGATGGCAAAACTCTGCTAGATGTGGAATCCTTCACATACCTGAGAAGCATCGTAGATAAACAAGGAGGTTCAGAGGCAGACAAAAAAGCGAGGATTGGCAAAGCAAGGACAGCATTCCTTCAATTGAAGAACATATAGAACTCAAAACAACTTTCAACCAATATCAAAGTCACAATCTCCAATACGATCGTCATCACAGTCAGTTCTACTGCACAGAGGTGAAACTTGGAGAACTACAACAATCACCATCAAGAAGGTACAAGTACTCAAAATAGCTGTCTACACAAGATACTCAACATCCATTGGTCATATACTATCAGCAACAGCCATCTGTGGGAGAAAACAAACCAGCTTTCATCTGAAAAGGAAATTAGGAGAAGACGACGGAACTGGAAAGGACATACATTGAGGAAATCATCAAACTACATCACGAGACAAGCGCTAACTTGGAATCCCGAATGGAAGAGGAAAAGAAGAAGGCCAAAGAACGTATTACGTCAGTAAGTAGAATCAGATATGAAGTGGATGAATAACAACTGGAAAGAGCTGGAAAGGATTGTCACTGGCAGGATTGGATGGAGAACGCTGGTGTGCGGCCTATGCTCCCTTACGAGGAGTAACAGGCGTAAGTAAGTAAGTAAGTGAGTTTCAGATATTACTAAGACGTAAGTTCTGTAATTTGTGTCTTCAAATACATTCGATTGTCCCTATCTACTTTCTCATTTACTACAATACGAGTGGAATTATTTGTAAGTTTAAGCAATAACAATGAGTTGACACTAACCCTTCGAGATAGTGTTGTTGAAAATTAATCACACTGACGGGTTTGAGTGAACAGAATGTCAAATATGCACACATTACGTTGAACATATTTCTGTTCAATGTGTACATACCAATTACACTCCCAAATCGGTTCATTCAATTCCACAAAATCTCTTAATGTAGTTGTTGTGACCTACTTTTATGAAGAGAACGCGATTGGTATAATGGAAACAATTATTGTTATAAGAAATTGTACCAGTGATTGTTTTGCTTCACCAATTTGTTTAAGTGTACTAAAAATAGACTTTCTCTCTTTGCCTGTGACCTTGCACGAACTCGCATACACTCAGTAGTCCCGCTTGTAAACTGTAACACGATCTCGATATTATTTCGACGCCACGAGATCGCCAACAAATACATCATAATATAACCTACAGTTGCCTACTGATATTTGGCCTACGGAGGGATTTTACATGATAACTGGCACGTAGTCTTCCTTTAGTGGTGACAACAGTCAACCGCGACTCGACGCCAACTACATATGGTGGACCAAAACTGCGGACACGCTTCAATCTCTTAAAAACCTCCCGAAGAAGACTATCAACGTGAGTCCATTATTTATCTACCGACTTATGTTGCACACTTCCTACTGATATTTTTCAATATATAACATCCGGGCAACAACTTTATATGTTGGATAACAATAGGAGTGGCATTAATATATAAGACTCCGATTTACAGACCATCAATTTCCCACCTGTCTCTTTTATTCCCCATGATCCAGAAGTTTGGTTCGCGGCACTGGGGTTTCAATTCGAGATCCGCCGTATAACGAATCAACGCTTTTGCTCTGGAAACGCTACTTGTGGATTAAATTGCCGCTGTTCGTGAGGTTGTCATCAACCCGAATGTACCTAGCGTTTATGATCGACCTAAGGAGGCGATCCTCAGACATTTCCTCACATCGAGTGAGGAACGCATGTGGACATTATCAACAGATCACCAGCTAGGCAACGCTAAACCGAGCCATCACCTGACGCGCCTGAAATATCTTGCAGGACCCAATACATCAGATTCCGAAATCGTTAAGGAATTATCTCTTGAATCTCTACCAGCGCAAATACAGCTAACGATTGCGGTTCTGCTCGGATATACATCACTTAACCGGTTGGCCAACATTGAAGATAAGATATTGACAAGGATTAGCACCCGTGACAACTATGTAGTTGCCTTAACGTCACACTCGAACCTGGATCTCGAACCATTATACCCATTACACTCCCGAATCAGTCACAATGCAATATCTTCATCAAATACACAAAATCTCTTGTTTAAGTAACTCTAATACTGGAGCTTCGTTTGCTAAATTCGTCTGTGAATAACTTTCAACTGAATTGATAACGGAAAATAAAGTAAGAGGAGGTAATATTTTTTGTGAAGAAACTTCAGATTCCTAACAAAAGAGACCCACTGAATCATTGAAACAGAATAATTATAATCCAGAGAAAACGTTTCTGTCTGACTAAAGCAATATGATGGGGAACCTGTAAGAAATCCAAAACCAACCCTATCTCTTATTTCATAATATAATTACCCACATAAATTATATAAGAAAAATGTCTCCCTTCGTCTTATACCACCTTAATCAGGGGTGAGCATTGACCATTCCGCCATACAGAGTCGAATTGAGGATCTTCGAACTGGAATTTCAATCCTCAGACTCTAAAACATACAACCACTATCACTTGATGTACCAGGTTGACTGCAATCAACCCACCATACTTGCTAACCATATCCCTTTATCTTCGACCGATATTCATCTCACAACTGGATTGGCTACATTCCATAACCACGACTTCTCACCAGAATTAAAGACGTTCGCCTCCAAAGTTCGTCATTACCGACTAAATCATGTGTATCAATATCTCGAAATGGAGAAGTTCGGATTATGCTAAGACCACGAGTGTGTCGGCAAATAGACATTTACACATAGAATACAATTACAAATGATCACACAATATTTGGTATTGATGATATTAAGAAATGTATACGATCATCAATAAGTGATCAGGTGGTATAGAGGCAATCCTTTCACTTTCCACATCGAATCTCCTTCTTTGCAGGATCATGGATACACACTGCTGAGCAGTTCTATACTAAGACAAAATAACAATCAAGTGATTCCGATTCTTTGGTTGTTATCTGTTACCTCTCAAATTGTGATCTCAATATAATTTACCAAACTTTGTGCCACATACTCATGATCATTTCATTAACTAGACATAAACATTACTCAGGACATCTTTGTTTGATACAAATATACTTACAGTTGTTTATCAGATGACTGTGAAATAAAATCATAGTGGAATATGTGATTGTCAATGAATAAATATAAATAAATATATGATTTCACTGCATACTTACTCCATATTCAAAATGAACTAATCTCCTAGTCGATAGTCTTAATTACTGATTCTTCAATTTTATCTATCAATACGTACCTGCGAATGCCGTGGTACTGTGGTGCGTTTTACTTATGTAGACATAAGTACTATATGACGCGAGTTTCAAACGTAATGTCTGGCAGCATAAGATGGGAGAAAATCAATAAAGAAAGAGCGGGAACACGATGGAATTTGTATGGAAACTCATGAACAATGAAATGTCAGATAATCGATTAATCTTTACGACAGAAACAGTCCAGTTTGATATGATGGATTGTTATTTTGTAAATTATTGATTCTCTATATGGTTGTTAGATTTTATTAATTAGTTCTGTAATTTGCTATTTAATATATTCGATTGTACCCTTTGGAGTTCTTTTTCACTGCACTAAAGCCAAGAGTTGATGGAGAGTCAGCTTTCCTTCTTCAAATGCTCTCACATGGCCACGTGCAAACAACTATTGTCAAGGAAGTCTCATTCATTGCCTTCTTGCGACAATACTGTTCTTAACGAAATTGAGAAGACTATAAGCGAATTTTCGACACAATAATGGGGTTGATGGACATTGAACGTTTATCTAGGGCAGTTGGAATACCCTCATTCCGAACAAATGACACACGGACTCCAGTATTCTGAAGGAACAAATGGGGAGAGAACTTGATGTTGGTCACTAGCTACCACGAAAATGCATCTCCTTAGGTTGCTCTACTGCCTTGTGGATAAGACATTGGGTTCCGAGTGTGCTCCTTCAAACTGAACACTTTTATATTTTGTTTACATTATTAACAGCTGCTATAGATAAATGGAGAAATATTCTAGTGTTCTTCTTCAGCACAGAAATTATCAGCAAGGTATATTTGCTTACCAGTCAGTATCTATGTTTGTTCATAGTGAATGTCATGTCTAACATTAATCTTGCAACAGCATATACCTAATCCACATTATTGATTCGTCGTCAATCAGTATCATAATATTGCATAACATTCTGTCCACATTTTTGTTTCATTCACAATTATCTACAGACAACATATCATCAACTGTCAGAGATGAGTTTAGTAAATTGTACTATTGATTGATCACTGGTTAGTGATCATGTAAGTCAAGTAAGTCAGGTCCTCCTTTGTGCTGATCGAAACAAATTGATCAAGTTACAATTTGACCACCAGTCTGGTTGAATCAATATTCCGTGCACTATGATGAGATTGTGAGAAAAACAGTCAGAATAGTTGATTATAGCTGACCTGCGTCTTTTCCAGTAAAACTAGATTTCCCCCTAAACTATATCCAGTTTTACAATAATCACACGTGTAACATATTAAAATGTGATAATCACAATTTAGTTTACCTGAAGTATCTTCAATGTGGTTTCTACAAGAATGAAAATAATCAGCATGTTAAATGTCGAAATTACTATGGGTGAGACTGTAATTTATGGACAAACTGTGAGAGACGCCATAGACACATTGAGAGTGCCCGCCCACCTTGTAACCACGAACATATGATGTTTATAATGCACTGTGAGGAATTACAACTATGATTGACAGTTGATGGGGTTAAGGTTGGGAATTCGATTTCGGGTTTTCATCACCAACTCACATCAACTATAATGCCAAAACTCTATTCAAACAAGTGGATGAGTGAATTTCGCATCAAAATCCCTCATCTCTTTTCTTATACCTGATTGGTTCGTCCATAAATTATAGTCTCGGTGTATTATGCATTCATTCATTCATTCATTCATTTATTCATTCATTCATTAATTTAGTCTGCCTAATAGCGTCAGTTGTAAAAATGGATATTCATTTAACAAGCTCTACATATACACACAACACGTTAGTATTCACAGAGGTTTATACATTTACTGATAAGGTGTCTATAAATGAAGAAAATCTTATTCTCATTCAGTAATACCAATAGGTCAGCTTACTTCTTGTTTCGTTTTCTGTTCTGCGGACATCTATTACAGTGGTCATTGGGTGAGTGACATTCTCTGTCTGACTAACAATTCCATCAGTTCTGGTATGATCTGTTGTTGAATGAGTTGTCTGTGGTCTGAAACGAAGTAAAGTCAAAAATTTGTGTAATCAAACAACTTCATGACGTGATATTAAATACTACTAAAATTTGTGATATAACAATCGAAATAGATTAGTGGCTGGCCAAAATCGAAAATGCAACAGTCCTTTATCATGATATCTTCAGTTGTATGATACAAATTTCAGTATTTTGACTAAATTTAATTCACGAATGTTTATCAGTACACTCTGCTGTACGTCTTACTCAACTTCTTGCAGAAGTTGAATAAATTCCGTGAAAGTGAACGAGAACTCCGAATGATTTCTGTGGAATTGAAGTAACACTGAAATCTGATATGATTGGCTTTTCATGTTGCTATCGAAGTATTTACTTCAAGTTGCACAGATTTTACTAAGATTTTCTTCGGTGTTTCTACCGAATAAAAGAATACTATATACATTAGTGTGATTTCTGATTTCGACTAGTATACTGATCGTTTGTTTGAATTTATCAGTCTATATAATTTGCTAACGCCACAATCAGAGACAAATACAAATAGTCAGAATGCAATGAGGATAATGTAATATGTAGATTTTCCCTCATGAACATATAAACTTTACGGTGTCTATGTTATAATTAGGATCTAATGAAGGTTATAAGCTTGGTTGAGTAATTCGAATTAATGATCAACAGTTGATGATCAAGGTTAGACATTAGATTTATCGTTCTCATCACGATCTGACCTACAGCAACCGTATCTATTATTTCACATTCTTTTACTTGCATGAATTACGTAAAAAGATATCTCTCTACGTTTTATATCAGCTTTTGCCAAGTTTCTTTTTGTAATTCTTCAATAATGTGTTGAAGTGATAGATAGTACTTTAACTATGGAAAAAAATACACCCTTATCCGCTTATATTACAGACTTAATAACATTATCAAACGTATCTGAATAGGGTCTACAATATCAAAGTAGACTGAATTAATAAAGTCGTAGACATCAATCACTAATGAGATTCAAGGAACCATTAAAAATGAATGAACATATACTTTATTTAATAGCTTGTCATTTGGATTGTGATTTTCGTTTCCTTTTGCTCTTGTTAAGCTAAATTCATTATTTATTTATTTATTTATTTAAGTACATGAACACTAGTACTAGGAGGCACGAAATAGATATGTACCACATAGACCAAGTGATTGGTGTTAAAGCTCGATAGTGATCGGGTGCCCAAATCGAAGTAGGTGGTTTTCTCAAGGGGTTACACAAGGAGCCTTTGACTTAAAGGTTCAATGCAGTCCCATGATAGCCAGTGATCAATAATTGGTTCACGCTCTATTTGTTCGTTCAAGATATTGGAGTCCATGTGCACGATTGGTTTGGAAACAGGATATTCCAACTCCCCTAGTTGAACTCTCCGTGTCTACCAACTCAGTTAAAGTGTCAAACATTGGCTTTTGGTAACAAACACATCCACCACGAGAACGCATTGAGAAGGACTTCCCTGACAATGGTTGTATGCATTGAAGAGTGAAAAATGATAAATGTTTGCCTGCAAAAAATTTCACTAATTAAACGATTTCAATCATCGTCTATTCACTTGTGTATAAAGACTTATTATAAACAGATTCGATCGAATTAGACTTACGTTTGTTTATGGTATAACTGTAAATAGAAAATTGGAATAAACAAAGTTATGAATATAGTCGGAAATAAAAATATTGATTTCGGAACATATGATTAATTAATTCTATCATTATAGAATGCCATTTTTGAGCTGTTCATTTTACAATACCTATCCTTTTTTGGCTTGAAATAAGTAGGTACTTTAAACCATGATCAACCGGCTTAATAACACTTCCTTATATGAAACGCGTTAACAGCTGAATGAATGATTGTTTAAAACAGATCGTTATATGGTCTTCAAAACATCAGTGTACTTGTGAACCAATCAATTACTTTAATACGGTGTATATGAAATATAAAGATTGTTACTTCTATAGCTGTACATAAGAAAGAATAGTTGCCATGTAAAATATCATTTATCAAATCATGATGTTGGGATACGATAATCCCATTCATGTTCCACAAAGAAAATATGACTATATATGTAATGAAAATCATACGATTCACCGTATCGTGATAAGATCTTGATAAGATATATTTCAAAAAGAAGTCTATATTATACTTCATTTACCAACGTAATCATAAATCAACTACTGATGTTGTACAGAAGATTGAAGTTATACTAATCTTAAAACCAGCATGTTAAATTGTTGTTTCTGTAGTTTAAATTAAAAGAAGAGATTTGAATGATTGAAACAAAGCTTCATGTATACTTAGACACATCAACTATCTGTAAATAGTTTGAAAATGAATCTCTTTTCTTTTCGATTGAGATCATGAATCGACTGATGTTAGACCGCCGTTAGAAACCTGGAAGAACTGGACGACCGTTTCATCCTAGTATGGGACTCTTCAGCAGTGCGCATCCAAAATCCCGCCCCCCTCCAAAAGATTCAAACCCAGGGCTTTCGGTCTTGCACACGAGCGCTTAACCTACTGGACCAGTGAGGCGGCATCCATGGTTTTAGTGTTTAATATCAACCAATCAGGCATTATAAAAACTAAAAACATTGAATAATATCTAGAAAACAAATGATCCATACGTAGTTGGTTCGATATAGAAAATGAGATCGTGGTTTACTTACACAATATTTTTATGTGTTTATATTACAATTTGTACTCACTACCAATTAATTTAAAAGACAATGTTAGAAAGATAAGATAACTTATCAAACTATTGATGTGTCGACTTCATACACTACCATAAAGTCTTATCCTCATTCTTATTATAGTTACCGATAACATCAAAAAAAGGTCATACAATTTTTCTCTGTGATAAATATCTGTAAGACAAGAACAATCACTGTCTGGTTTTCAAATATTATCTTCATTAAATGACTTGTTTCATCACAAATAATAGCCTCATATAACTAGTACAAAAGTCAAGAGAGTAGTACTGTATAGAAATGAAACTTGAAGAACTACTACAACCATCATCAAGTATTTATAAATAATTGTCTACGCAAGATACTCAACATCGATTGACCGAATACAATCAGCAACAGCCTACTGTGAGAGAGAACAAACCAGTTTTCAGCTGAATAGGAAATTAGGAAAAGATAATGGAAATGGTTAGGACATACATTGCGCAAATCATCAAACTACACCACAAGACAAGCGCTAACTTGGAATCCTGATGGAAAGCGGAAAAGAGCAAGGCAGAAGAACATATTACATCGTTAAATAGAATCAGATATGTAAAGGATGAATAACAACTGGAAAGAACTGGAAAGGATTTCTCAAGACAGGGTTAGATGAACAGTTCTGGTAGGTGGCTTATGATCCTTCATGAGATATAACAAGTGTAAGTAAATAAAGTAAAATAATTATGAACAAATGATTTTAATGAAACAATAATGATTTCAATTACCTGATATATCATCCATATAGTTCCAAGCAGAATAAAAATCAAACGGTTTGCTACATCGAAAAACATTTTGAATGTTCAGATGACTGTTTCTGTTTTTTTCCTTTCAAATTTGCATATTACTGTAATCGTATTATGTAAATTTATACTATACATTGATCATTTATAAATAGTGAGTATTTAATGTCTAGGATGAACTGAATATTGTAATAATCATTAACATAATAAGAATCATGGTAATTGTACTTACATGTTAGTGTTTACAGATCTATTAATTCATCACTAAGTCAACATAAACAATTCGAAAAATCACCAATTCTGTATTGTTTACTTACTTGAGTGGGATCATTTTAGATGTAAACAAAGTATAGACTATTGTTTACCTTTATTAGAGTTAACTATTAAAATAATTCATCGGAAATGAGTACGAACTCAAATATAAACAAAAAAAAGTATATTCTATTTATATGCAAAGATGGATAATGGCTAGTAATGAAATCCAGTTCGACGCGCGTTTTGTCCTATTTCAGACTCGTCAGTTGGATGTACCTGTACCTTAGAGTTAATGTTCACCTTGGGACTCAAACCCAATACCGTTCGCTTCAAACGACATCGCGTTTTTCACTTAGCTACTGAGTCCTTATAGCTACTTTATTGAAAGAAACAAATATAAATATAACAACACACTCTTTCTCCAGTCATATGGTAAGTTGAATTGATATTAATGTTAACATTTTCATTAAAGCCAGAATATAGTTCGCACAATTTCGGGTTGACATGTAAATAAGAAGTTTGAAATGTAACGTGTATCTGGAATCGATACATCAAACGGTTGAAATGTAGCATTTTATCTAATAAGAACAACAACATTAATAATAATAATGCAGATGAGAACAACCAGTTTTACAGTAGCCTCAACATCAGTAGGCCTCAACATACACAAAGGGAAAAGTAAGATCCCGAAACGCAACATGGAGAACACTAATTAAATCACACTTGATGGCGAAACTCTGGAAGATTTGGGACCTTTCAACGTACCTGGAAAGCATCATCAGTTAACACTTCATTGAAACGCTCAATACACTCAAACTGCAAACGTTTCTTATCACCTACTAATAACAATGTATTCTTAACAAACAGAATATGTTGACTTTGAGATAATTCAGTGATAATCAATTCAACTGGAAGTATATATATATATCAGTTAGATATTTACATTTTTAGTCAAAATGCAAAACGTATCTTAAATGACAGTAAGGTGTTCCCTTCAGACAACCAGCTGCCTTCCCCCAAGGAAGGGTGGGGTTAGAAAAAATCGACCTTAAAAATGCACACCTCACCTTATCTTACAGATATCCGTCTCCGATCGTAAGGTCTCAACAAGTACGAAGCTAACAAGAAAATTACTCACAAAAAGTCGTGTTACCGACCTCAAGCAGTTATCCTTTGAGCACTTTGGTCACGCTCTCAGGTCACTAAGACCACCTCTAATCCAATTTTCTTTTTGGGTACTTCCAGAAGAACTCTTTCACTGTGTTGGCAACCGGGAATTGATAACCGCCCTCATACCTCTAACAGCACTCAAGACCACTGTAGTAAGGGTGTACATATACTTGGATAATAACTACAATTACGTTTGAATGATCAGTAGCTTTACACCGTACTTTGAGAATTCTGGTAGTGTATTGGTCACATTCATATTTACAGTTCGTTTGTGTTAAAGGTTCCCTTTAATCACATGTGACCTAGAAGTAAAGCCATGAATTATTTTTAAAAAAAAGTCTTCATTGAAGACGTTTTGATAAAGTAAGTCTCTTAATTATGAACTTGTTCATACTTAAATGGTATTCAAGTGGAAAGTTCAACATTGTCGACTATTTACAATATAACGCTTCTCATATAAAAGTGGACAAGATTTTTCAGACCATGAGTAATGTTTTTAATGTAGAAACAATTAAAATGTTCGACATCGATCGTAGATGTACGGTGTCGTATGGGATGGCTACTTGCTTCGAGTTGGATCTCATGAAATAAGGAAAGAGGTGTCTAGAAAAGTCGTATTCCACAACAGCGTTGAATTAATGAAAATAAGAAACCGTATCAGTCCAAAAGCATGCCAGTTACTGAAAAAGGTTCTGGTTTAAAGGTTAGACGTTCGAGATGCAACACATTCATTCATCTTGACTGTTCTGCATAGAACCTCTGAAGGTAACCTGCTGTGTATGGAGTATTACCGTTATGATATGTAGTCATGGGTTTTGTAAGTAAATATCACAACTATTCAGTGAGAACGCAATAACTATGTAAATAACACTTTTTTACAAAGTGTACATCACGTACAACATAGAAAAGATCAAGTTTAACTGCCTATAATTGAGCGTGAATTGTTTCATTAATAACGTTTAGATCATTTTTTTTCATTTTATTGATGATCAGTAGATAGATTGACCTATGTGAGGCTAAGCAGTTGACGTTTATCAGGCAGTTAGTATGAGTGATCTTGTCTGAATTCCCTACTTAACTTTTATATTTGTACCCATCTGTGATTAGTATCCCATTCGACTGGTGAATTAAAACTAATGACATTAACGTAATGTATGCCTAATAATTGTACATATACGTTAGATGAATCATTGAATGATTACATTGAAGTACATGATTACATGAATAAATTAAATGATTCATTGGGTATTGTGATGAAATGATTATTAGTATCAGAAGGGATTTTTGTGGATATTATAGCGGTTTCAACAGTTGAGATCATAAGTCGATTGAATTGGGTTCGAATCTCGAGAGGTGAGATCGTGGATAGGCACTGCTGAAGAGTCCGATAATATGACGAAACGGCCGTCTAGTGCTTCCAGGTTTTCCATGGTGGTCTAGCTTCAATTGACTCATGATTTCAACTATTGAAATGATAATTGTTTATGAAGTTTTTGGTGAAATCATTAACACCATACAAATAAATTATTATATTACACAATAAAACACTTATGATGGAATTATGCGCAATTACGTCTGAACCGTTTAAAATTAGAAGGTGGTTGGAGGTAGTCAGCAGGATAGGCTGGACCCAGGTTTCGTGCTACTTGGCACTCGTCAACAAGGTGGACCTGTAATCTTGAGGGAACTGGTGTTCCCTGACGGATTCGATCCCGTGTCACCCAGCTTCACAGTCACAGACGTAATGTCGAGTCACCTAGACTAGTGGCCACATTGCAGCTTGGTCGATAACATTCGATCTGCACTAAGAAGTACTTGACATACGACATTTATTACAACCCTGTGATCAATCGATTGTGAACATTTATTAACTGAAAAATTGATATTCCTTTTATTATCTCATCTAAATTATGAATCAATCAATGAAGGCCACTATTGAAAACCTGGAAGCAGTTGATGGCTGTGTTATTCTAATATGAAACTCCTCAGAATTGTCTATGCACGATCCTGCACATAAGACTCAAACTCAGGACCTAGAGTTTCGCGTGTATTGTTTATTTGTTCCTAGTTTGAATACTGTTGATAAAGGACATGTTTTTCGAACTGTTTCAAAAAAAAGTGCTGATTTTCATTTGTTGTTCATTACGTTAATTTGCTTTCTGGAAAACTAGTTACGATGATCACAATAAACGTGTGTTTATTCAGAGTGAACTTTCTAATTTCGTTCGATTCGATCACATGTAAAGTCCATTCATCATTGACATTATACGTATTTCGTCTGTGTGATAATGGAGAATCGAACAGTTTTGTGGAGATTGTAGTAATTTCTATGGTTAAGATCATGAGTCACTTGAAGCTAGACCACCATAGAAAACCTGGAAGCACTGAACGGCCGTTTCGTCCTATAATGGGACTCCTCAATTTCGTGGATTAGTTGAAGTTAGACATTAACACCGCTGAATGATGGCTCAGTGGTATCGTGGATAAGTGCTCGCGCGCAAAACCAGTAGGTCCTCGGTTCGGACCTCGCAGGTGGCGAGGTCGCGGATGCGCGCTGCTGAGGAGCTCCATAATAGGACGAAACGACCGTACAATGCTTCCAGGTTTTCTATGGTGGTCTAGCTTCAACTGACTCATGATCTTAACCAGTGAAGTTTTAAATGTCTTCGATATTATCTTCTTTATATGTCTGGTCATTTAACTGACATTTAATTCATATCACAATGTATTCTTAGTCGGATAATTTAAAAATAACCACGACAATTGATGAAGACTTATGGACTGAGTAATCGGTTCGCCTTCTTTATCATGTAACCTATGTCTGACCTCAGCTATGTTCATTTAACATTTCCACCATACGTAAGCTTTCTGATATATGAAAGCATGTTTTCGAATTTTGTTTATCTACAGCAACAAAAAGGCGCTAACTATCAACCTTTTTGTTTTACTTAGAATAATATTATGAATACAGATGAGTAATACAAGACGTTAAACTCTACCTCAATATATGGCGATATGGTCATACAGAGACAGTTCTTTCACAATCCGAGGAATTCAGTCTACTTAAATAACATTGCGGGAGAACGTTTTTCTGAACATCACATCTCGAATTATATACAAAATCAAATCAAGATTTATTATTTTCATACAGCTTGGGAACTAGTGACAGTAACATGAATTTCATGAATAAAGACTACGCAACACTGAACTTTATGCCTCAGACAGTACGATATACTCACTTAGAAACTATAATTAACTCCCACCAATTTGACCTTATCGCAATTCAAATGAAAAGGTAGACTCAAGTCATTCTTGGAAGATATAAATGCATGGAATAAAGCGAGTGATAAGCTTAAGACATATTGTTTACTCGAGTTCCTTACATTCAGCGTACATATATTTGACACTAGCTTCTGAAATGAAGCGCATATCTGAACCAGTACACATATATCGGAAAATAGTCACTAGAAAACGATTGAAAAATACATCTCATAGAACGGAAATGAAGATTGTTGTTTACTCCGTTCAGCAGTAAACAAATTACTAGCAAACATAATAATTACGACAGACAATTCTAAGGTGTTTTACTTCAGTATTGTCTAAACACGCACAAAATGTGACTTAAATGCAATCAAACGAAAGTCAACATTCTTCTACTTCGTTTTTGATTCACATCATGAACCGACTGATGTAAGACCTGGAAGCACTGCTCTATTGTGGAACTCATCAGTTGTGCACATCTACAGTCCTGCTCGTAGGACTCGAACCCAGGGCTTTCGGCCTGGCGCACGAACGCTTAACCTACTGGACCACTGAGCCGGCATTCGATGGTGTTACTGTTTAACATCAACCAATCCACGAAATTGAGTGACCATCTTTCATTGTACGGAGGTAGATACCTGTCTCTACTGGACACGGATTAGCTCCACTGGTCACGGCTTCTCACTAGAACTCCGAGAATTTTCTGACGAAGCTAGTCACTATTGAGCACATGATAATTATCAATATAGGGGTTGTGAAGATCATTAAGCTTTTGATTAAAATCATGAACCGATTGATGTCAGACCACTTTATTACTAACAGATGAAATGTAGGACTAAGACAAAGATGTTGGCCACATAGTTGGAGATAGAAAACTAATTTTTTTTATTGCTATAAAAATAATTTTTTTCTATTCGTATTTTCGTCTTTTGATTATTAAGAGTTCAACAATAACTTCAATTACTAGGATCCTTATTCTTGTAACTGTGGTTCCCTTAGAAGTTAGTTTCTCTGTAAATATTCTCAGACGTCCTGTATATCCAAGGGAACAATATTTATGTTGTTGGGGAGTGCTTATTTTCCAAACTTTAGGGATTATATATGCTCGCACTAAATGTTAGTTCATTGTAGATTATTTATTTGAACACATGAATATCGATAGAAAGAGGCATCGAATACATATGCGCCACACAAGTCACTTGATTTGTGTGTGAGCTATGATACTTCTCTGATGCCTAAATCGAAGTAGGCGGTTTTCTTAAAGGGTCACACCCCGAGCCTTTAACCTAAATGTCTGATCCACAAGGCAGTGCAACAACGTAAGGCGATGCAATCCCATGGTAACCAGTGAGCAATAATTGGTTCACATACCATTTGTTCGTTCAGGATACTAGAGATCATGTACACCATTTTTTTGGAATCAGGGTTTTCCAACCGCCATATCTACTAACCCGGTTAAAGCGCCGGACATTGTCTTTTGGTCCTCTCGATTTCGTAAGCAACACCCCCTTAGAGAGAATGCAGCCAGTAGCGCTTCCCTAGCATGTAGTCATGTGAGAGCATTTCAAGAGGGAAAGCGGACTCTTCTCATCCTCGGCCGTTCCAGGACATTTATAGTAAGATGATTGGTTTTTTGTTTCTTGTCAAGAGTTAACAATATTTTATGAGACATTACTCTAAAAGAAACCATTTAAACAAGTTAATATCATATTTACATATACTGTGAATATATTTCATTAGTTAGTTACGTTTTAAGTTCATAAAGTGGTTGCGGAGCTTTGTTCACTGAACTGGATAATTGCTCCTGGAGATTTCAGTGTTCTTCTGAACGAAATTACCAGTGCAAACTTTAAGTAGCAGTAAAGTGTTCGAATCTCTCCACATATGACTCACAACTTGTTCTCTCAACCTCGAGATTGATTGGTTATTGTTAACCTTTAACCTGTCATTGTTCACTTCTTTGTTTTGATTATCTCTCTCCTCAATTTGATTTTTGGTCCTATATTTGTCTATGATTTTTCTAATTGATTGATAGATTGGATCCCTTGGTCCAAGATCTCAACATTTAACCAGTCAAATAAATGTCCACACTTGTCCACATGTTTTGATATAAGTGAAGATATGTTATAGCATTTGTCCACTAAATGATGTTCATCCAGGTGAAGATGAGGGGCCCATCCACTTTGTTCGATGTGTTGTTTTACACAATTAGAATAGTTTATTTCATAGATGAGATTTACTTTTTCTTTTGTCATTTCATCGTTTGGTTTGCATAAGAGTGATTGAAATGATTTTGTTAGTTTTTATACTACATCTTTTACAAATGGCTTCCGTAAATTCATAATGACTGATATGTCTTTTATATATATTAGAATGATCTGTTTGTTGGTTTCTGTACTTGACTTCATTTTTGAATTTGGTTGATATTTTTTGGTAAAATGGCATAGATGTTCATTCTTTTAAAGGATAGTCGATAGATACTTAATCTTTGTATTTTTTAGTGATGCAAGTGTGCTGCAGTGTTTTCTCTAACGCTTGTTCGTAGGCAGTTGCTTATTTTGTGTTCTTCTGTTGTTGCCCTCAAATGCCCTGGTACGGTCGAGAGTGGGGAGAGTCCGCTCTCCCTCTCGAAATGCCCTCACATGGCCATGCGTATATAGCCTCTGCTAGGGAAGTCCTACTCACTGCATTCTTGCACCACGGGTGTCGTACACGAAAAATGAGAGGATGAAAAGTGAATGTCCGGCGCTTTAACTGGATCCCAAACCAATGGTGCACATGGGCTAGCTTCAGTATCCTGAAGGAACAAATGGCGTATGAACCAATCGTTGATCACCGGCTACTATGGGACTGCATCTTTTTACGATGCTCCACTGCCTTGTAGGTCAGACCTTTAGGTCGAAGGATCGGGGTGTGACCCCCTAAGAAAACCACCTGTTTCGGTTTGGGCACCCGTGCAGTATCATAACCCTCACACATATCAAATGAGATCTGTGTGGCGCATATGTATTTGGTTGCCTCCTTGTATTAATATCTATGTGTTAAAATAAATGAATAATAAATAATCTTCGTTTGTTGCTACTGGAATTTAGAATTTGATCTGTGTGAATCAGCTTCTCCTGTGACGGTTCTGATGTCTAGTACATCTAAGAATGATATTTTGTTGTTTGATCCCTTTTTTATTATAAATTTTGTCATCGAAGACATTGTTAATCACTTATGACAATGGATACTTATATATATTATATGACTATTATGTAACCAGTAGACACAAAAACACTTGAATAATTTCATCACCTTCAAGCAATCTAAAGATTGAATTTTCAAGAGTTTGTTTATAAAATGCTACAACGAATTCAAGGTTCTAGAGTTGCTTCCTTAACATCGTTTAACTTCCGTATGTTCAAAGTAAGGCATTGTTCTAAGCTTGATATGCATGTTCACATAATGTGAACGATATACTAGCAGATTGTAATGGACGATCTAAACATTGAAGGATATAAACTCATAGTAATGGAATAATTGACTAGATAGTGAACCTTCAAATCATTATTCCTTGTATAAAATAAGAAAGTTTATTAACTTATGAACAAACATAGTGTGGTGTGTGCTACTCATGTGGACATAAGTAGCATATGATGTTAGTTGTCAACAGAATGTCTAGCAGCAGAGAGACAAGAAGATCGAACAGTAAAGAATGAAAACAGAATGTCATTTGTATGAAAATGCAAGAACAAAGGATGTCTGAGTCATTTGAGACAATTGATGGACAGTTTGTAAATTGAGCATTTATTATATGGTTGTTAGATTTTATTAATAAGTTCTATAATCTCTGACTAAATACATTCAGTTGTCCTAACCTCTGTTCTCCTTCACTATATAAGGGGCCAAAAATTAAACTAATGGGAGTTACAACCAAGATAAAGAAGTAAACAATAACAACTCTAAAGTCAATTAGAACCAATCAACATCGAGGTCTACAGGACAATCTGTGAATCATATGTGCAGGAATTCAAACGCTTCACTTTTTTATCTAAAGTTTATACTGATGATATCATTCAGTAGAATGATGAAAACTCCACGACCAAACCATGTAGTTCAGAGATTTTTCAAAGTATCATAATTTTCACCACTAGAGTTCAAATAACTTTACTTTCTCAGAAGGGGTTTTGTGGAGATTGTAGTGATTTCAACCTGGAAGCTTCCAGGTTTTCCATGATGGTCTAGCTTCAACTGACTCATGATCTTAATGATTGAAAACTTTACTTTAAACTAACTTATATTTAGTTTATGTTATCAAGAGTTAATTTCAAACAAATAACTCGTTTACACAACTTCATCCATTAACATTTTACAAGCAACAACAAAATACTCCAAGATCATATCCATTAATAAAAACTACAGTCTTATACAAGTTAATCAAACACAATCCATCATTGGGAATGAACATCCTTCAAACTTTAATCACTGGATGCCATGGTGGTAATATTGGTATTGAATGTTGAAATATATCTGGAATTTCTTCTTTTTTCAAAAGTTTTAACAAGGCATTACCATATTCATCATGATACTTTTGTTTTACATCTTCTGATAGATATATTCCATAGTTTACTTTATATAACTTATCTATTGTATGTAAATCTATCTGAAATATAATAAAGTATGAATCATCAGTATTAGGGTTGTGAAGATTATTAAGTTTTTGATTGAGATCATGAATCGACTGATGTTTGACCACTGTTGGAAACCTGAAATCACTGGACGGCCGTTTCGTCCTATTGTGGGACTCCACAGCAGTGCGCATCCACGATTCCGCGAGCGGGATCAGTCTCGCGAGCGAACGCTTAACCTACTCGACCACTGAGCCGGCATTCAATGGTTTTAGTGTCTAATATCAACCACTCCACTAAATTGCGCGACCTTCTTCCATTGTACGGAGGTAGATACCTGTCTCTTCCCGACACGGATTAGCTGCACTGGTCACGGTTAAGCGTTCTCGCGCGAGACTGAAGGCCCTGGGTTCGAATCCCGCGAGCAGGATTGTGGATGCGCACTGATGAGGAGTCCCATAATAGGATGAAAAGGCCGTCCAGTGCTTCCAGGTTTCCAACGGTAGTCTAACATCAGTCAATTCGTGATCTCAATCAAAAGTGTGAATCATTAAAATGTAATTACATCAAAAACATACAAGACAAAAAGTAGATATTTCATACACATAGTTCCCTTTATTATCATAATAGAAGAGAGAGTGAGAGAACAAAGTGATTGCAATCAAATGTTTAGAAATAAGACATATGTATCCAAAAAGAGACTGTGGTAAATCTTTCTTTGATTGGTAACATGAAACCTTCTTTTTATTTATGACATTATTCATCATTTCAACTCTTTCTAAAGTTTAAATTACATCGTGATCATTTTTCTTCAATTCATATCTTACTTTATTAACATTAATCTATTTCAGGTAGATTGATTACATAATCATATTATGGTTGTTAACTCTATGAGTTCGAATCACCATTTCAATGTTCTGGAACTTTCCCTCCCAAATCTTATATATTCGAAATAAGATTTTTTATGACCTCATTAATTCTATGGGCTCTTCGCTATATCATGATACATATATTCATCCTTAATCATCCTCTAATGTAACACGAATGGGGAGAATCGAATATAATCGGACACAAAATTACAGAGTATGTTACTGAATCTGAGAACCATACAGTCAGTAGTTAATTTGCAAAATATCAATCACTTGTCTCAATCTTGACTACTACTTTGTAAATATCAGTTCATCGTCTTAGATTTCTTTGTTTATGCATTTTCATATCAATTACTTTCAGTTTCTATTCTTTCCTTCTCGATCTTCTACTGAAATACATTCTAAGCCTGATTGTCGTTATATACTACTTATCGGGATATAAGTAGCTCATATTTTAGGCTGTAAGCAGCTTATCATAACCTAACGAAATCAAATGAATTCATGCTATTCTGCAGCAATCTTCGTTCTTGCTCTTCAGGAAAGTAGATCATCGGTAATTCATAATAGTTTTCAATAAAATAACTAATATCATGTACAAAACGTAATCTAATCTCGTTATCAGCTTAATAAACATAGTCTTTAATTTAAATGACACTTATTTAACCGAGAAACAATGAAAGGCGAAGTATATAAAAGCACATACTTAGAGTTGTTAATTAAGTAAGCAAATGTTATCATTGGAATTCACGATGCGCGTTTCGTCCTATTTGAAACTCATTAGCTGGATGTATCTGTATCCGAGTTTAGATTCGCTCTGGGACTCGAACTCGGTACCGTTTGCTCCAATCGATATCGTATTATCCACTTAGCTACTGAGTCCTGTTAGCTACCTGCTTGTGTTGTTTGCTTGTATCTTCTCATTGTTGTTTAAGACTGCGATTGATCAGTCTCTTGTTGGCACATATACATTCTGTATGTATTGCCTCAATATTGCCTTAAGTCACAAGGTTAGATGGTCTATTCCTTCCATATAATTACAATATGTATGAAAGAAATGTAAACCTTTCCAACAGTTGACTAGATCATCTGTTATAACCTGTTACAACAGTTCTCTTAGGTTTATGCTTCCATCTAATTAAATTGAATAAATGTAAACATTCAAAATGTTTTACGTATTCTGCATAAACTTACTTCAGAACGGATAAGAATGAAACGTTGTACACTCAAACTATCAATGTGTTCCTTATGAAGTTCATCATGGATTAACGTAGCAAAATACATCGGTTTGTTAATAGAGTAATTATCTAAAATTAAATATACATAGATAAGAGTTGTACTGAACTACATTACAGTACTCAATAAAACGTTACATTAACGAATAAAATAATTTGATAAATGTGATATTAGATCAGTCATCCTGCTTAAAGCAAAACTTACTGAAATGTCACCTAATGTATACCAACCTAGTAACTCCTCCTGGAGTCCCTCTGGGGGCTACTGCCGGTTCCAAGCTCGAATAAAGAAGGAAGGACGGGTATGGGGTTAGCGAACCCATCCTGTAGAAATCTAACTCGCTAAAAAAACGCTAATCAGAAAAATACCAACCTAGTAACCATGGTATTCTTTACTTTATAAAAATTCAAAAGCCCAATTGTAAAATGATAGTTGAATATCTTTTTATAGTATTTCAAGATTTTCAGGAACTGCTATAGACAAACGGTTTTCACAATCATTTTTGTTATGCCAACCTGATTTATACTATTGATAACAAATGGTGATATAGTTTGTTCACTCAGTTAGTATTTACTAAATACGGGAAATGAGCTAAACGTTTTATCAGTATAGGGTTATGGAGATTATCATATTTTTAATTGAGGTGCTGGCTCAGTGGTCTAGAGGTTAGGCGTTCATGCGTGAGACCAAATGCATTGGGTTCGATTCTCCTGAGCAGCATCATGGATGAGCACTGATGATGAGCCCCATAATAGAATGGAACGGCCTTTGAATGCTTCCAGATTTTGAATGGTGATCTAGCATCAACCTGTTCACAAATGTTTAATTGGCTTAAACGTTTATGTTTGTTCAGAATAAACTACTCCTTGAAAATAATTTTCATCTACATATGGAGAATCCTTATACGAAAATATGAGAATTCGGAAAATGGTAAAAATATGCTTATACAGATAAACATTTGATATTGAGAGAGAAATGATAAGAGGAAAAAGATAGAAGTTATTAATAATTCCAGTTTTATGAAGAGTTATGGAAAGCGATAGTTTGTTTTTTCGAACATCTCATCAACAAATCTATAGTCTAGATGGTGGTTGAAAGTAGTTAGCAGGAAACCCTGAACTCAGGTTTCGTGCTACTTGGTAATCGTCAGGAAGGTGTACCGGTATTCTTGTGGGAACTGGGGCTACCTAACGGATGCGATCCCGTGTCACCTAGCTTCACAGTCAGAGACGTTAGCACTTGGTCGATAGTATTCGATCTGCACCAATGAGGACTTGACACACATAACATTGATCACCACCCAGTGATCGATCAATTTTGATTAAATCTATAGTCTCTCGGATTCTTCAATGCGGAACATAATTAGAAGCTTCTGAAAAGGAAGATTTCAGAGACGTTGTTATAGATATAAAAAAAATTTTTTCCATTATTTTAAGTATAAGAAATAAAATCAGACGGTTTTCGTGTTTTGTTTTTGTCAAGTAAAACATGTATTTCCTGTGGATACTATACAAGATGCATCACGAAACATATCCCGGCCCGGATAGCTCAGTGGTAACGTCTGTGACTGTGAAGCTGCGTGACACGGGGTCAAATCCACCAGTGAGCACCAGTTCCCTCAAAGATTGCAGGTACACTTTGCTGACAAGTGCCAAGTAGCACGAAACCCGGGTTCAGGGTTTCCTGTCGACTACCTCCAACCACCATCTAATCTCACAATAGTGCCAGCAGTGTCTAGTCACCTAGACTGGTGGCCACAATGCAATATGGTCGATAGCATTCGATCTGCACTAATAATAAGGACTAGACACGTATGACATTGGTCACAACCCAGTGATCAATCAATTGTGAAACATATCCCTTGCCTGATTGAAAATAGAAAGCGGTAATCGATTAGAACTTTACGGACTAATGAAATGGTTATTTCGTTGTACTGGATCATTTACATATTAAACAGAAACTTACCAAAACAAATATTGTGTATTCATTTTCACTTGATCACACAACTTTTATATACAAATCGTTTCTGAAAGGGCTACTTGAAAAGAAATATACTCGTTCCCTTTTTGATGAAGTTTGGTTCTCTGAGCTGGATGGTTTGTTCGTTGAGCTTTCATCGTCTTTTTTTGAACGACATCATCAGCACAGACGTCTACCAGCTCAGAGAGTAAAACTCCATCAAAGTTATTCACCTGAGATACAGATCTTCTCCACGATCACATAATCGTTCTTTTTTTGGTATTCTGATCACAGATTTAAAATCTGTTAATCAATTTGTTCTCTAATCTTTTGTCCTTCGTTAATTTTAGATGATTTACGTAGTTTTTGATTGAGATCATGAACCGACTGATGTTAGACCACCATTGAAAACCTGGAAGCACTGGACGGCCATTTCGTCCTATTGTGGGACTCCTCAGCAGTGCGCATCCACGATCCCGCTTGCGGGTTTCGAACCCAGGGCCTTCAGTCTAGCGCGCGAACACTTGACCTACTGAACCACTGAGCCAGCACCTAATGGTTTTAATGTCTATCCTCGACCAATCCATGAAGTTGCGTGACCATCTTCCATTGTACTGAGGTAGACACCTATTTTTACCCGACACAGATTGATGATTTACGTAGTATTATGACTAATTCTTACGTGATTTTTATAACAGTATCTATTTTTGCTGGTTAGCGTTTTTTTGGAGAGTTAGCTTTTCTACGAGACGGGGTCACTAACCACGTACACATCCCTCCTCATTTATTCGAGCTTGGGACTAATAATAGCTGCGAAGGAACTCCAGGCGGAGTAAAAGTGTTAAACATGTCTTACAACTTATTTGGATGAGGTAGATATTCATGGGTTATGCTATAGTTATGAAGGAGGTATGTTTTGAAGTATTCAAAATGAGGTAAATGATAATCATAAGTTACCCTTATTTGTTGGTACATATAGGTAAAATGAGGTTGATTCAATAAAAAAAACACTTATATTTACTTGAAAAAAGCATACTAGATTGATACTACTTACACATTGCCAATAAAACATCGTGGAGTCGACCTGACGTCCTGCTTTCAAGAACTTCACCAAATTGTCTAACGGGTTTCTTTGTAATGATATATGGATAGGAAGAAACAAATAAATAAAAAAAACCAAAAAATATTGAAAGATTTACAATCTGTTTCTAAAGATGGTTATATTTTAAAATATCAGAAGGGTTTCTGTGGAGATTTTAGTAAGTTCAATAGTTGAGATCATCAGTCAATTGAAGATAGACCATCATGGAAAACTTGGAAGCACTGGATGGTTGTTTCATCCTAGTACAGGACACTTCAGCAGTGAGCATCCATGACCCCGCCTCGCGAGATTCAAACCCAGAACCTATCAGTCTTGTTCGCAAGCGCTTAACCTCTAGACCACTGAGCCAGCATCTAAATTACCACGAAGTTAAGGAAATGACATTGATAAATCAACTATATAGTATCACTTAACAAACATACTTGTCTATAAATCATGTTCAGTTTTTGAAAGTGAAATGGATCAAGTTTACATAGACGTTCACCAAGCTGCTGTCCCACATCTTTACTGAAATCAAAAAGAAAAAAATTCAAAACAACATTGTTCACAGAATTCGTTACAAGAAGTTGGTAGAACTTAAATATTATGAGAGGATTCAATATTTTGACAAACAATAGGCTAACATATGAAATTCCCAAAAATGTTTTGATTTTGATTGAGATCATGAACCTATTCATGTTAGATCACCATTGAAAACCTGGAAGCACTGAATGGCCGTCTCGTTCTGTTGTAGGACTCTTCAGCAGTGCATATTTACCATCACGATTATCATCTTAAGCATCCATAACTTAACTGAAAAAACACTTGTTACTAGTAGAAAAACTTTGGAATTAATGTATATTTACTCATCAGTTGTCAGTGAATGATTAGAAATACATAATAAGGTCGAGTATGATAAAACTGTGCATTTGTAAAGGAAAGTTACCATAAAATCTTTGTTTCTATGACTCGAACAAAGACTGTTATATGTAATGGACTGAGTAATAGAAAATAGTTTCTCTCTACAACCGGATCATTTGAGTAATTATGACTATTTTTCTATGGAATCCTAACGATCACTTTGACAGTACACACAAAGAATATGATTGTTGTTATAGACTTTTTTAAGTGGCTATTTACGATAATACGAAATCTCTTAAAAGATCATTATCTGAAAGAATTAATGATGCTTGTGAACAGTATATATGTCAGTTGATGGCTTAAGTTGAGTTTGTGGTGCGACTATAATTTATGGACGACCTTCGGGCGACACCAAATTGACCTTGAGAGTGTCTATCTAATAACCAATATGAGAAATTCGAATTATGATTTACAGTTGATGATTAAGGTTAGGAATTCGATGTAGGGTTTTCATCACGAACTGACAACAGCTATAATATCAAAACACAACTTAACCAAATGTATAAATTAGTTTAGCGTCAAAATTCAAGACTTGCTATCTTATACTGTGGTATATCTTACTTATGTAGACATAAGTAGTATATGATGTTAGTCAGGGACACAATGTTTGGCAGCAATGGGACAAGAAGATTGAACAGTAAAGAATGAAAACAGAATGCAATTTGTATAAAAATGAAAGAACAAAGGAAGTCTGAGTCCTTTTGAGACAATTGATGGACATTTTTCAAATTGAACACTTACGATATGGTTGTTAGATATTACTAACTAGTTCTGCAATATGTTGTGAAATACATTCGATTGTTCCCCGCTCGTGACTCGTCCATAAATCCTAGTCTCACTGGATAATAACATTAAGATCAGAACTTTTTATAGCAGGCGTAAGTACATTTTCTTTCGAATTTCAATCTTCATCTATGAAATAACAAGATGCCAAGCAGACTCGATGCAGGTTAAGATTATTTAAGCATCTTAAGTGATATATTGTTATAACTTAGTATAACTGAATATGTTGATTGAATGCTAATGCCAGTGTATTTTAGAACATTATTCATCATCATCATCGTCGTCGTCATAGTGTTTTGGGGCTAATAAATCATTACTTATACCAGTCTTTGTGTTCTTACTTTCGCGTCGTGGGAAGTGTAGTGATCCCTCGTTCCGATTATAAATGATCAGCGTTTTTTCCGACACAACAATTAGCGACGACCAGATATAACAATTATATTACAATGCAATTAATACTAAAAACCAAAACTTTACTTAAATAATGTATAAAATTATAAAACTATTTGTCAATGTTCTCTCAAATATAGACGTACTTTGAATCCAACACGTTCATTAAATCATAAAATACCTCAATAACTACTGTGTTGTTAACTATCGGCTTACCACCTCTACCTTTGATAGGATCTTCTTGTTTAGGTTCATATTTTCTTGTTTCAACTATACAATGTAAAAGAGATTTTACAGATTTCCCAAATCGTTTCTCTATAGACTTCCAAATTGATTTTGTAGAATCTGTAATGTAATAAGTAGTATTTGTAGAATTGAATATATTTATTGGTTCATGAATAGAAACATAATATCTGAGGATAGATTACTTTTTTAATATTGAGCATTGCATCCTATTTTGTTTTTTTCGAATACAGCCCTCCCCCCGAATACCCTGGTACAGCCGATAGTGGGAACAGTCAAGTCTCCCTCTCGAAGTGTTCTCACATAGCCACGTGTATATAACCACTGACAGGAAACTACTACTCACTGCATTCTCGAGGTATTACTGTTGTTTGTGAAATTGCGAAGATAAAAAGCCAATGTCTGACGCTCTAATATGGTTGCTAGATATGGACGATCCACCTGGAAGAGTTGAGAAACCCTGATTACAAACTCATAGTGTAAATTAGCTCTAGTATCCTAAAGGAACAAATGATGTATGAACCAATCGTTGGTCATTGGCTACCATCGGTTTGTATCTCCTTACATAGTTTCACTGCCTTATGGATCAGACCTTAAGGTCGAAGGCTCTAGGTGTGCTTCCCTAAGAAAACCACCTGCTCCAGTTTGGGCACTCAGGTATTATCCTAGCCCTCACACAAATCGGATGATTTATGTGCATATATCTATTTGGTGCCTTCTTGAACCTAAGTTTATGTATTTAAATAAAATTTCCGAATACAAATGTTAACACAACTAATCTAAAATTATTAAGACAACTTGTTTACATTTGTAATTAGCTAAATTACAAGGTATACATATTGTGTAATAGATGATATAATCTATGTTGAGGCTAAATATAAGTTAAGCATTTAACAGTACGGTGGAGAAGATTTGTAGCTCAGGTGGATGATTTTGATGGAGTTTTGTTCTCTGAGCTGGATGGTCTGGTCGTGGAGCCTTCATCGTACAAACTTTGTTCAGGAGGGCGAGGACACACTGCAGCACACTGGCAGCATAAAGAAAGGAAGAGAAATACCTGAAGGACGTATTTCAGAAGAATGGCTACCCAATCAACTTCATCAAAAAATACCAACCACATGCAGCACCAGAGCACAAATCAAGCACAGAAATCAACAAACGGATCACCCTACCATACATAAATGGTATATCAGAAACCGCAACAAGACTGCTAAAAACCTTCGGGATAGGTGTGGCACACAAGCCGACAAAATCACTACAGTCAATCCTATGCAAACCAAAGGATGAAATAACAAAAGAAGATAAATCAAACATCATCTACAAAATAAATTGTGTCAACTGCGACAAAAACTACACCGGACAAAGCGCACGCCTCCTTTTTCTGCGCCTACATGAACATCAATTAGCAGTCAAACGACATGATATCTCCTCACTTATATCAACGCACGTGGACAACTGTGGACAGACATTCGACTGGAATAATGTGGAAATCTTGGACAGAGGAAATTCTAAAACACAAGAGAATTCTTAAAAGCCTGGCACTCAGGTTAATCAGCAATCAACAAACATAATGAAATCGATCCGATTTATCAGGAAACTTATGCACAAATATAGGAACCAGAATCAAACCAATAGGAGACAAAACCAAAACAAAAAAGTAAACAATCACAAATTTAAGGTCAATAAAATACCAATCAACATCGAGGTGCACAGAACAAGCTGTGAAACGCATATGGAGAAATTCGAACAATTCACTTCTATCTGACGTTTGTGCTACGGATGATGTCATTCAGAAGAACGATGAAAGCTCCAAGATCAAACCATCCAGCTCAGAGAACAAAACTCCATCAAAAATTTAAACAGTACAGAGAATGAACTTTCACAACAAATGCACTACAATACATTGATAAAATTTGATAAGGAGACTGGTCAAATTAAAAGAATTCATGTATGGGTACACCTTACAGGTATTCATAAGCTGGTGTTATCATTCAATCAGGAATTCCCGTTCATTTCTATTAGTTATTGTTTAACGTCAGCAATTCTTCGGTGTCATAAGCAGTGTTATTTATTTTGGTTAGAGTTAGTGATGAGTGGTGAGATACGTAATTCATTTTAACTAACCCTAATCATCTAGACGTAAAGGCAAGGATCGTTAAAGCAAAGGCCGCATTCTTACAACTCTAGAACATATGGGACTCAAAACAACCGTCAACAAATACCAAAGTAAGAACCTTCAATACGAATATTGTGACAGTTCTATTGTATGGAGCTGAAACTTAGAGAACTACTGCAACCGTCATCAAGTATTTATAAATAGTTGTCTACGCAACGTACTCGACAACCTTTGGCCGGATATCATCAGCAACAGCCTACTGTGGGAGAAAACAAACCAGCTTCCAGATGAAGAAGAAATTAGGAAAAGACGTTGGATGTAGATAAAACACACATTATGGAAATCACCAAACTCCATCAAGAGGCAAGCCATAACTTTGAATCCTGAAGAGAAGCGGAAAATTGGAAGGCCAAAGAACATATTACGTCGGGAAATAGTAACAGATATGAAAAGGATAACAACCGGAAAGAGCTGGAAAGGATTTCACAGGACAGGGTTGGATGAAGATTGCTGATGGGCATCCTATGCCTCTCCAAGTGAGGTAACAGGCGTAAGTAAGTAAGTAAATAAGTAATCATCTAGATGCACCTGGACATTAGTGCTAGAGTTCACACTTGAACAACATACTTACTTACGCCTGTTGGGCGACCAGCACTCTCCAACCCACTCTGTCCTATGCCTTCTTTTCTAGTTCCATCAAATTCTTCTTCATTTTTCTCATGTCTATCTCCGTTTCCCGGCGTAATGTGTTCTTTGGTCTTCCTCTTCTCCTCCGAACTTGAGGATTCCATGTGAAGGCTTGTCTCGTGACGCAGTTGGGTGCTTTCCTCAATGTGTGTCCTATCCACTTCCAGCGCTTCTTCCTGATTTCTTCCTCCACTGGGATCTGATTTGTTCTCGCCCACAGTAGGTTGTTGCTAATAGTTTCCAACCAACGGATCCGAAGTATTTCCGCCTGGGGTCCTTCCGAGGGCTACTGCCGGTTTCAAGCCTGGATAAAGGAGGAGGGTTGGGCATGGGGTTAGCGACCCCATCCCGTAGAAAACTAACTCGCTAAAAAAAACACTAACCAGAAAAAACTATTCACACTTGAACAAGTTAACTAGAAAATTGGAACACTTACATATATTTCCCTTGGATACTCAGTTCAGTATCTTCAAGTGGCGAATATCGGTGCTAAAATGTTTGACTCAACTAGCCGACATAATCTAGAATGGTTCTCTTTATACCACTTTTTATATAATATGTAATAGTAAGAAAAACAAATTAAAAATTAACCTTTTAAAATTTACTAACATATTTTATAAGCAGCTTCCACTTGATCGAATTCATCACCCCAGAAATCAATTAGTATACTTGTTGTTTTCTGTAAATTGGAAGCAATGATCGCTTTGTACAATTCATCCGCTAATAATATCGATGTATCTGTTAGTAGATCATCAAATAATTGTTTCATTGATCTTGATTTAAAGTTTTCTCTTTCATTTAGTAGAGACTAAATAGTAAAAGGAATAGAAGAGCATTAGTCATATATGTTAACCTAGGGTAATCAATGAATACTCTGAAACTTACTGTTAGATAGATCACTCAACAAGCGTTTCACTCCATGGTTTAAAAAAAAAAGAAGTAGATATGGATAAACCTCTATCTTTTCGTGTCGTAGTTGACTACAGACAATTATATAATGATGTGAGGATAAGTTATTGTCTTCTATTATAACTTTCATTTGATATTCGTACATGTAGAAAACTATATAAATTTCAGCTAAAAATCACAATCTTCGCATTCTATTTAGTTAGAAATGAGTGCTGGTAGGCGGCGTATTCTGCTCCATGAGGAGTAGCAGGCGTTAGTAAGTAATCATCTAGATGCACTTGAACATTGCGTTAATATGTTATATAGTTGTGATAATCTTCATTTTGTTATTACATTATCGAAATTTATCAAAGGGACTAATTACTTTAGAAATCAGTTTGTCAATTATGATCTCAATCAAAAACTTAATAATCTCCACAACCCCAATACTGATAATTAACATGTGCTCAATAGTAACTAGCTTCGTCAGAAAATTCTCGGAGTTCTAGTGAGAAGCTGTGACCAGTGGAGCTAATCCTTGTCGGGTAGAGACAGGTATCTACCTCCGTACAATGAAAGATGGTCACGCAATTTCGTGCATTGGTTGATGTTAGACACTAACACCATTTGATGCCGGCTCAGTGGTCCAGTAGGTTAAGCGTTCGCGCTCGAGTCTGAAGGCCCTGGGTTCGAATCCCGCGAGCGGAATCGTGGATGGGTAAATATATACCTGAGATGGTGGAGATCACTTGTAGCTCAGGTGGATGACTTTGATGGAGTTTCGTTCTCTGAGCTGGATGGTTTGGTTGTGGAGCTTTCATCGTTCTTCTGAATGACATCATCCGTAGCACAAACTTCAGATAGAAGTGAAGTGTTCGAATTTCTCCATATGAGTTTCACAGCTTGTTCTGTGCACCTCGATGTTGATTGGTATTTTATTGACCTTAAATATGTCATTGTCACTTCTATCTGAAGTTTGTGCTGATGATGTCGTTCAGAAGAACGATGAAAGCTCCATGACCAAACTATCCAGCTTTGAGAACAAAACTTCATCAAAATATATACCTCTTCTGCAAACGGTTTCATTGATGTCCATGTATAAGAAATGTTGAAAACAAGTCTACAGACTATTATAGGTCACTGAAAATATTTCCCTCAGGGAAACTTTGTTTGCATTTAGTCAATGAGAATACAAGTAAAGCGACAGATAAACTGTTCACTCGAGTAACAGAATACGAAACAAGCTGTAGTCAATTTCCTTTAGTTGCATAAGTTTTACCCCGTCGATTTTATGATTTGACAGTCATATGTAAGTTTAGTGCAGATTACGTTTTGAAATTCGTAAAAAGTTTTGTAATGGAACACATTTACATGACTAATTCGTCACTTGGTACCGTTGTACATAAAACACTCTTATGTACTGTATTATGTATTATAAATTCCAAGTAGACATCAACGCAGGATACCATCACACCATAGCGGCATCATTTGCACCAATATGAGCAAATTATTTTGGAATTAGTGAAAATAAGTTTATCACGGACAGACCAATTATATAGACATAAATAGCACCTACTTGGAACTTTTTATTATTTCCTATAATCCACTTGCTTTTGTTTACTTGGATCTTTCCACTGATGTTTAGGACTGCAATTTATCAGTCCCTTATTAGTATATGCGCATACCCGGTGAATTGCCTCGAAATTGCCTTAATTTACAAGCATTATAAGCAATGATGGCCAGCAGTGGAATCCTGGACTTGCGAACGGTACGAGGTTCGAGTCCCAGAGCAGGTACATCCAGCTAATGAGTCCCAAGTAGGTCAAAACGCGCGTCCTGGATCCCAGTACTAGCCATTATTCATATTTCCTATAATTGTTTCTAAATGTTATCAATCAGCAAGTAAACAATCTATAATGAACATAATTGATTTAACTACCCAAAGCGAAGCTGGAATTTCATTTTAAAGACTGTTTAACTTATGCAAGGATATAGGTTAGATAATAAATAAATACCTACTAACTGCCCGTATAGTTTATTTACATTACAGCTTAGTTAAAGTATTTACTCGGCTTCAAAATGCTCGACACTGAAGTAACAATGTCAGTGTTCTGGTTCGCGAGGTGACTACCCCAACTGTCAGGAATCATCTTAACACTCTATGATATTAACGACAATGGAGCTCAACGTATACTCGCTTCTTCTAAGATACATTTAAAAATGGTCTGAGTGTAAAACATTACTACACAGACAAACCTTTTTTAAAATCTTGTTATACTGATGCACAATATTCTGTCGTTCTGCATTTGTTCTTGATGATAAAATTTTCATAATCATTTCTGTTCGTTGATCTGTGAAGTATCAAAGATTAATGGTTTAAGCCAGTGTTCATTATGTCCTATGGTTATAAATACAAATTAATGCTCTGAATGATGAATTCAAGTTCAAAGAGAACATTGTAGAAGCCACAGTTTATGAGATTAAGGCTTATTATGAGTATAGGTTTTTGTCGAGATCACAAAACTTTCACAACTTAAATGATATCCATTTGAATTCAAAAAATTAATGGACAGGTGTTTCGTCCATGGATGGAACTCTTCTGTAGTTCAAATCCACGATCCTGACACGGTGAGTATAACTTTGTATTTTTAGTCTTACCTTCTAAAACCTGGTCTTTTGATCACTTGGTTGACATTCAGTCTTGAACATGTATAATATCAATTAATTCACTATACTGCACAACTATCTTCTGCTAACTGTGGTTAGTACCTATCTCACACCACTGTTACCATACTTCATCGGGTATTTGCGAAGTGATTTCGAAATGATCTCCAACCAATATCTATAGCCAGAATGAATCTCATTTAAACACTCGGTTTATGTTCATTTACTAGTTCATCTAGCTCTAGATATATGCCAGTTCGTCAACATCATCGGAAATGTAAACATTAGTTGAAAAACGGTGATGAACCTATATGTAACGTGCTTATTTGCAATTTCGTTTCTCCCAAAATGAATTTAAAGCACATCTTTACACAACTATGTAGTATATGCTACACTTATTTTGATAGATACTAGTTATATGTAGCACCAATCGGAAGTGGAATGTACACCCAAAGAATATTGAGAATCGCAAGAACAATGAAGCCTGTATAGAACAACTGATGGGATTGTTTTCATATTTTGTGAAAGCACTCTATAATTTTGCAATGAACAATAAATCGGTCTTCCCCACTTGAGATCAGTAGGTCCTGGGTTCGAATTACGCAAGGAGGGATGGTGAATGCGCACTGCTGAGGAATCACGCAATAGGGCGAAACGGCCGTCCAGTGCTTCCAGGTTTTCCATGGTGGTCTAGCTTCAACTGACTCATGATCTCAACAATTGAAATCAGTATTAACTTATAATAACATTCTAACATAAAACATTTACTTTTGATTGGCATAAATGATAATGTCCACTTACCTTTGGTAGTATTTCCTATTCTATAGACTTCTTCATCAGCCGACGTTCCATAACCAACTACCTTTGGTTCATAAAGAATTCCATTTATATTAACGTGATGAAGAAGTGAACGGATGAATGGTGGTCTAAAATAAAATTTAATTTAAAATCTATCTTTTTAAATATAACATTTTCCAGATTGAGTGCTCCCAAATGCCCTAGTACGGCCTAGAGTGGGGAGAGGCATCTCTACCTCTCCAAATAATCAAAAATGACTACGTGCATACAATCGCTATCAGGGAAGTCCTACTCACTGCATTCTCACCGCCGGAGTGTTGTTTACGAAATTGAGAGAACAAAATAATCAATGTCCAACACTTTAACCGGGTTGGTGGACACAGAAAATCTACCCGCGGAAGTTGGAAAACTTTGATTCTAAACTCAAAGTGAACATGAGCTCCAGTATCCTGAAGGAACAAATGGCGTATGAACCAATCGTTGATCATCGGCTACCATGGGACTGCATCTTCTGACGTTGATTTACTTCCTTGTGGATTAGCTTGTAGCCCCCTAAAAAAACCACTTTCTTCGGTTTGGGCACCCTGGCAGTATCCTGGCCGTCACGCAAATCGAATGATTTGTGATAGCTCAATGGTAACATCTCTGACTCTGAAGCTGGTTGACGCGGAATCGAATTCGTCAGAAAGTATCGTTACCTCAAGATAACAGGTATATCTTGCTGACAATGTGCCAAATAACACGAAATCTGCGTTCAGGGTTTCCGGTTGACTTCTTCCAACAACCATCTTATAACGACAAAGTGCATGCTATGTTAAGTCACCAAGACTACTGACCACATTGCAACTTGGTCTATATGATTCAATTTGCACTAACAAGGAACTGATCATCACCCAGCAGTGCGTGTCTATTGAAACATTAGCCAATCACTTTATGAGAGTAGTTATCAAAGTTTAGGTTATAAATAGAAGGCTAATAGCATTTAAAAACAACACTACACAATCTGGTTAAGTACATTGGTCAAATCAACATATTCATATATGTATAGTAAACGAAATTGTAATGACCTTGTTAGGTTCTACAAATTGGAACAAACTTTCGATGATTTTCATCTGTAGTGTCGGTCATTGAGTTAAGCCTATATATCTTATTCTAGCTTTCGGACAGACCAAACTATTCATTCAAATTAATTCACATTTTGACCTTGTTAATTATTCGTTTATCAATCTTGACTGTTTTCATATGAGCACATATGTGTGTGAGACCTTCTTATCTTAATCATCACATGTATGTGACATATTTTTGTGTAACTATAAATGTTGATTAACGCTTGGTTAAATGAAGTTGGCTTACCCGCCATCTCCACTGCGCGTTATTTCTCTTCGCTCTCTTCGATTCACTTCATCCCTCTGATTTTCAGTCCAGATCTGTGAGTGTACAACATATACGCATTCAAAAATTCATCCTCGTATTTGACTTATTTAATTCCGTTATTCACTAACGGGACATATATCGGTGACTATATAAATAGCGATCAGAAACGATCAAACTGGAGTCGGATCCCGGGCCACTGAACATCAAACGATCTATTTTTGATTATGTCAATATTTAATTTTCTTCGGATAATTGCATCCCATTCAATTATAATTTATGTTGTTAAGAAATGAAAATTCATTGATACTAATTTTTAGTATGGAGTTGTGGAGATTATTAAGTTTTTATTGAGATCATGAACTGATTGATGTTATACCACCATTGAAAACCTGGAAGCACTAAACAGTCGTTTTGTCCTATTGTGGTACTCCTCAGCAGTGCGTATCCACAATCATGCTCGCAGGATTCGAACCCAGGGCTTTCAGTCTTTCGCGCGAACGCTTAAACTCTAGACCACTGAACGTGCCGGCATCCAATGGTGTTAATGTCTGAACCCAAACAATCCACAAAATTGCCCCTCCATCTTCTATTGTACTGAGGCAGATACCTATGTCTACCCGAGACAGATTAGTTCCATTTTCACTATTCCGACATATAATCTTGTCTAATTTATCCTTTATTTTGTTTATGATTAAATAGTAATTATGGATTTCAATAGTTGAAATCATGAGTCAATTGAAGCTTGACCACCATTGAAAAAACTTGGAAGCACTGGAAGTGAACATCAAAATGATGAATAGCAATTGGAAAGGATTGTTCAGGGCAGAGTTGGATGATAAATGTTGGTGAGTGACCTATACTGCTCCTCTAAGGGTATTAGGCGTATGTAAGTAAGTAAGTAGGAATTAATGAATGTTATATAATCATTTCAATGATCATAAGTTCAATTGGACATTACACAAACTGTTTTAATACAATATAAACTTACTTTTGTTCATCATAAGACTGAAATTAAAATGAAGATAAAATGTTTATCAGTCAGTCAGTCAGTTAGTTAGTCAGTCAAAATATTGAAAGTATTCGGATTCATTACATAAGATTATTCTGTTTTCATAACCCATATTAACATTACATAGCTAATAATAAACGTATATAAAATGAGACTATAGTTTATGGACGAACCAATCAGGTATAAGATAACTGATCTCGAATTTTGGCACGAATTTCATTCATCCATTCGGCTAAATAGAGTTCGTGATGAAAACCCGAAATCTTATTCCTAACTCTTAACCATCAATTGTAAATCATAATTCGAATTCCTCACACAGGTTTATGATCCTCATTTAGTTGTACTTATTAGCTGAACACTCTCAAGGTCACTTAGATGTCTCTCAAAGGTCATCCATAAACCATAGTCTCATCGATATTTCATTATCATCATGAATTGAAGATTCATATGAATAGAATTTCATTCATTTCATCTTATTGTTATTTGTGATTAAATATAGTTTTAATGGTTTCGTGAAAACTAACATTGTGGTGTGTGCTACTGATTTCGACAGATATCAATAAAACACGTAGTGGCAGAAGGTTAAGAAGATCAAAAAGAAGAGAAGAGAACGAAAATCGAGAATGATTGGTGGTGAAACGAAGGAATAATGAAGTCTGTGACGTTTGACTGATATTTTGTAAATGAAATATTTATACATGATTTCATATAAGTCTTACATTTTAAAGCAAAGATCATATACACAATCATAATATATATATACCATTGAACGTTATTAAACGTATAGTGTATATGTATTTATAGTCATTTCAATAGTTGCGATCATGAATCAATTGAAGCTAGATTATAATAAGAGATCTAGAAGCATTGGTGGGCTGTTTCGTCCTATTTTGGAACACTTCATCAGTACGTATCCACAATCTCACTTCATAAGATTCGAACTCAAAACTTATCGGTCTCATGCGTAAATTGACAACAATAAAAAAAAACTATGGCTAACAATTCAACTTACCGTAAGTAACATTAATATAATTTCTGTTAGAATCAAATGTAAACCATTTAATAAATTGAATAACATTTTCAAAGTGGTCAGTTACATTAAAGATTACATCATAGTTTAATATGATGTAGATTTATATCCTAAACTGACCAATCATAATATAGTGAGGTGTAAATACATCAAGATGACGAATATCATTCCATTAATGTAAATATTAAACTAAACAATCTACATGATGGTTTAAAGTTGAATTCTAATGCATGAAATAGACACAATCCTTGTTTATGTTTGTATAAATATGGATGGATTATTTGAAATGTAAATAAACAACTAATCATCTGATCAAGATCATATGAAAGTTTGTATTGTTTATTTACCTAAATGGCATTGTGTACAGATCCAGTTTAATCTTACAAATGATTATTGAAATAGGATTGATAATAATTGGAATATAAATTTTTAAAACAAAGATGGATAGTGGTTAGCAGTGAAATGCAATTTGGAACACGTCAAATGGATGTAACTAACTACATCCCAAATTTGTTGATGTTCACTCCGGGACTTGAACCTAGTACGGTTCGTTTCAATGCCATCGCGATGGAGAAAGAAAAAAACTCTTGGATTCTACTACTAGCCACCATTCATTTTAGCTTATAAAAAAGCTTATGATTTAAGGCAATATCGAGGCAATCCGTACAGGATGCACATATACCAATATGAGACTGATCAATTGCAGTTCTAAATAACAATGGAAAGATACAAGTAAAACAACACCAAATGAATTTAAACTTCACCCCATTCTACAAGCAAGTGGCTATCAGAACTTAGTGGCTGAGTGGATAACGCGATGGCGTTTGAAGCGGACGGTACTGGGTTTGAGTTCAAGAGTGAACATCAACTCTGAGATGCAGGTACATCCAGCTGACGAATCCTAAATAGGACGAAACGCGCGTCCTGGATTCCACTGCTAGCCACTATACATCTTTGCTCATAAAAAAGCTTGTGAATTAAGGCAATATCGAGGCATACGCACAGTATGTGCGGCGTCGTAACCTATTTCTCATTCTGATTAATGACTATAATTGCCTTGATTTGTTTAACATTTCCGTATAAATATTCATGCATATTAGAGTAAAGCTTAATGACGATCTAATTGAAAATAATATTGTTCACTTACATGTGTTATTCTAATTCTGTTTATTACCGAAGTAATAGTGTAGTGAACACGAACACCAATGGAAAACAATCGAATATATCTCATAACAAATAACAGAACTAGTTAGTAATATCTAACAACCATATCGTAAGTGTTCAATTTGAAAAATGTCCATCACTTGTCTTAAAAGGACTCAGACTTCCTTTGTTCTTACATATTCATACAAACTGCATTCCGTTTACATTCTTTACGGTTCAATCTTCTTATCTCTCTCTGCTGCCAGACATTGTGTTCCTGACTAACATCATATACTACTTATGTCTACATAAGTAGCACACATTACAATAGTACTTATGATAAAACATTGAATAGAATACTCATTACTAGATTTAGGTAATGAAAAGTGATAGAAGTGATACAAATCATCATTCATGCATACACCAGATGAAGTCTTTTCAGTTTTGTGTAGCAATGTTTACATTATTCGGCGAAGAATACATTGTGATATAACTTAAATGTCAGCTGAATAACCAGACATGTAAAGAAGATAATATCGAAGTCATTTAAAACTGTTCGATTCTCCATTATCGCACAGATGAAATACGTATAATGTCAATGTTGTGTACTATAGGATCTTAATAATGAATACACTATACATGTGAAGGAATCGAACGAAATTAGAAAGTCCACTCTTGATAAACACACATTTATTGTGATCATCGTAACTCGTTTTCCAGAAAACAAATTAACGTAATGAATAACAAGTGAAAATGATTACGATTTTTTCTCAAGAGTTCTAAATCACATATCCCTTTGAGACTAGGAATAATGAGCTAATTCACATGGAATTGAACGTATTGTGTATGAGTTATATTTGTGAGATTATAGGTGAGCACTATAGAGGAGTTCCATAAAAGGACGGCAGGTCTGTTAGGTACTCCCAAGTTTTCAGTAGTGATCTAAGAATGATCGGCTTATGATTTCAATAAATGAATTCAAGTTTTAATTACGTATAAATTTACTATACCTGCTCTATAGTGTAACGTAATATTCTGTGGGCTGTTAGTAATTTTGTCTTAAATTTAATAGACAACAATCATTCTGTTGTAATCTCGTAATGTAATATAATGTAATCGTATAGTGATTCATCTATTGTGTGTTTACAGTTGTACAGATACTTCACTAGGATTGATGATTTTATTAGTTATCTGCAAATTTACAAGCGCTTTAGCCCCATCTTCACTTTCACCACTGGATATTGATAACAACCAGAATTTGTTGTTGGTTTCTCCCTTTTCTTGTGTTACGCAAGGGAATAATCTTTTGCTAGGGTTCTTATACGGACGGTCAGCTGTAATAAGCAGAATATGTGAATAAAATTCAGGGACTGGACCTGAATTGAAGGGCACAGAGATCAAACCAAACATAGTCCAGCTACTCCGCATATTTCTAATACTACTATCTCGTAAAGAGACATACCCTTCTAATTACACTTGTAGGTACCATCAATACGTACGACATCGGGAAATCGACGAGCTATATTTTCCGATCTACTTTTGAAACGAAGTAGCATTACAAACAGCCGATCACTTCACGATGCACCTGTAGTGTCGGTTATTAAGTTAAGGCCATATAACTTATTCTAACTTTCGGACAGGCCAATCTATTCATCCCAATTAAGTCACATTTTGACCTTGTTAATTATTCGCTTACCATTCTTGACTGTTTTTATATTAGCGCATATGTGTGTGTCCTTCTTATCTTATTCATCACATGTATGTGACATATTTTTGTGTAACTATAAATGTTGATTAACGCTTGGTTAAATGGAGTTGGCTTATCCTCCATCTGTACTTCGCATCGTTTCGCTTCGCTCTTTTCTCTTCGCTTCTCCGATATTTTGTCTGGATCAAAGATTGTAAGAAATATACGTGTCCTAAATTCATTCTCGTTATTTGACTTATTTAACCCCGTTATTGACTAACGCGACTTAAGTCGATGATTATTGACGAGGATGGGCGACATATACATTTAGACAGCAATCATTTAATAGCAATCATTCATACGATCTACTTCGTGTCAGATGCTGGGCCACTTAATGCCTCTAAGCTTAATGATATAGATATATATTCGGCACCTGATAATCAATAACCCCAACAAGATAGGATCAAATATTTATCTGCAAAGATTCGAGTAACTGTTTGCAACAGTCAATGGTCAATCATCATCCGCCAAACCACGCCTTAATCTTGAGTTCAATCAAACATGATCTTATTTTTGATGACTTGTCATAATCCAACAACTAAACTATATAATGGTGATAAAGCTTTATCAATTTCTAGTAATGAAGGCATAGATAATGAAAATCAGAATTGTAAGATTACTGAATGAAAGTTATGGTTAAAGGAAGGATGAGTGTATGAAGGAATAATAATATTGTACAATCATTCACTTTATAATGATTTTCAGTTTTTTTCATCTTACCACAATCACCATAATACATTCAGCTAAACAAAGATACGTTCAAATACAATCAGTCATGGCTCTCCTACCTACTTATGAAATACCTTCAACTACAGATATACATATATATTTCTGTGTTATACACCTACTCCCTCTTATTACTCTGACCTTCCGTTACTCTGTTAAAATCATAAAAAGAAGCATTCATAAGTAAATCTGTTATATAACAGAAACTGTGATCATCTTTTAGCAGCAATTTCTGAAAAACCAAAACCAGACAACATGTCATTCGATCAGTCAGCTACAACGTAGGACTTGGCACATATATACATTGATTGAAGTAACCAAACCTTATTAGCACAACAAGATGAACACTGAATTCATAGAAGTAGTTAATTCAATGGTGGGAATATATAAAGGGAAGATTGCATATACGGATATAGTATAAGAAGAAAGGATTAGTTGACAGAAAGAAAGATATAAAGCGATTGTAATCTTATAGATAAAAGAAAGACATGGAGTGTATACACTTACATCATTGTGATTGATTCTGAGTCAATGTCACCCAGAGTCTCCAACCATTGATTACGATAGTCATGCGGACCTCAACCAAGTAATATACATCTAACAACATGGCTAAGACTAGACAACTTGACAATGTTCTATAAGTGTCAAAGAATGTCGTACAATTGCATTTATAAGATGATATATTATTATTATTATTATTATTATTATAAAACTGTTATTATTAAGTAATGAAGTAGTAACAGATTGATCGATTTTGTATTCATTTAACCTAAAAAAAAACAAAATGTGAATACATAATTTTAACATTTAGTGAAATGAGAGCAAAGTTAATTGGTCAAATTGTAAAACATGGAGACAACCGTATGTATTTGAATACTGAAATACAGAATATTTGAGAACCATAGAGTAAATATAAGGATAGATCTTGCAGAGACCAAATTGCAATTCTACGGATCATTGTGAAACAATCCATTGAATGGAATTCATCACTCTACATCAACTTCATTGACTATGAAAAAGCATTTGATAGCGTGGACAGAACAACACTATGAAAGCTTCTTCAACACTACGGCGTGCTTCAGAAGACAGTCAATATCATACGGAATTGCTATGATGGATTAAACTGCAAAATCGTGCATGGAGGACAGTTGAAAAACTCGTTCGAAGTAGAGAATGATGTCAGGCAAGGTTGCTTACTCTCATCCTTGCTCTTTCTCCTGGTGATTGACTGGATTATGAAGACGTCAACATCTGAAGAAGAGCACGGGATACAGTGGACAGCTACGATGCAATTGGATGATCTAGACTTCGCAGATGATCAGGCGACGACCAATGTAACAACAGCCTCAGCAGCAATCGGTCTCAATATACACAAAGGGAAAAGCAAGATTCTCCGATACAACACAGCATGCACCAATCCAATCACAATTGACGGAAAAGATTTGGAAGATGTACAAATAT